AATAAGGGCATTGCTGGGCAAAGGCAAAAGCGTCTCCATTCTGTTTGCTTCAGAGAAAAGGCATGGACCAGAGGCAAAAAGGATCCAAGGGCAGGGCCCCTGGGTTCTGGTCCCCTCTCCTGGTACAGACACATCTTCTGTGATTTTCCTTCCCTAAGCCAGTGCTCATCCTCAGAGGTCGTTCTGGAGTAACTAACGGGTACAACATACCCATACCAATCACGCCACTCCGCCTGCCACAGAAGACCTTTCTGGGGGGTCTCACTTTTCTTCTGACATTTAAAATATATTTTATTGATTTCATAGAGGAAGGGAGAATGAGAGTGAGATACAAATATCAATGATGAGAGAATCATTGATTGGCTGCCTCTGCACACCCCACACTGGGGATTGATCCTGCAACCCGGGCATGTGCCCTGTTCAGGAATCAAACTGTGATCTCTTTGTTCATGGGTTGACGCTCATCTACTGAGCCACACCGGCTGGGCCAGAGCCTTCACTTTTGACATGGTTCTCAAATCCTTGCAGTCACCCCTGGGAAGTAGGAAGATGTAATTCCAAATTTCACAAGTGGTAGCAACAAGAAGAAGGGGTCAGTCTCTTTCTGGAAATTACAGTGAGGTTGAGAAAATGAATGTGTAAAGAGAAAGAAAAGGAAGTCTCCACACAAGCCATGAAGGGCAAGAGTCCCGGTCCTGGGGGTCTGGGCTCACTTCATCAGTCTCTTCAGTTTAATGTGCCCACAGTGGGCGCTGTCTGGATGATGGTCAGGGGAGGATGCGTGGAGCTGGTGCTGATCCAAATCTGAAATTTTTATAACATTTAATAGTCAAAGTTGGAAGGAAGAGACAGAAATTTCAGCACCAGCCTCAGTAACTAAAAGGGTCAAAGAAGTAGGGGGCACCTGGATTTGAACCAGGGACCTCTTGATCTGCAGTCAAATGCTCTACCACTGAGCAATACCCCCACTTACATATAATATTTCATTAGCACTCTTTCACTCATGGCACTGCATCTAGGATAGCTGCCTGTCTACATGTCGCTGTTTTTTCTGCATGGCCCAGAACATCGCAACTCTTCTCACTGTAGTTCACTGTCTTGTCTTCAGCCTTACTCTTCTTCAGGTCATGATAACAGCACCAGCCTTAACACCTTGGAAGTCCATTTGAGTCTACAATAGTGTTTCTACCTAAACCAGCACATACTTATCAGAACAATCATGGTCAGTTTCTGGTCCTCAGTAAACCTCACACTCAGTGCCGGGAGAGCCTCGTCCCTATTCTAAGGTCTCAAGAAGGGTGCTCCTTGTTCCACTCATTCAGTCACTCAACAAACACAGAGCATGTGAGGTCCAGGTCCTGTCATCCATGTTGAGGACACAGAGACTTAAACATTGTCCTTGTTCCAATAGGAGACAAAATCATGAAGCAAAGACTTTGCACAAGAGTGGCAGAAGCCCAAGAAGAGAGGCGTGGGAGCAGAGAGTGAGGAGCTGGCCTGCCTGGAGAGTCAGAAAGGTCTTGCTGGGGGAGAAGGACAAGGGGGAGTTTGCCACAAGAAGCTGGAGAGGATTTCAGGTCAAGGGAGGAGGAAGAACAAAGGGAAAAGTGGGTCAGGCATGTCTGGAGCTCAGGGAGGCTTGAGATGATGTCACACATGTGGGCTCATTGACCTGAGAAACATTTTGGCTTCCAGCTAAGGCAGGAGTGGGACTCGGCCATTGTCACTGGAAGCAGGCCTATGACACACAGCATGACAAGCCATGACCTCATTGAATCCTCACAAGCACCCTTGTGTTGTCTAATTGTAGTACAGTTTGGCCATAACAGAACCCAGGCCCAGGGAGCAACAGAGCACACTACTGGCCATAGAACACAACACAGTTGATATGGGAGTGAGGAGCCATCGGGGCCAGGGGCTACTATGGGTGACAAGAGCAATCATTTGGCTCTTTATTTAGCACTTCAACTAAAAGTAAGTTGAGGAAGGGGGCACCCGGATTTGAACCGGGGACCTCTTGATCTGCAGTCAAATGCTCTACCCCTGAGCTATACCCCCACACCTGCTTATGAACCTTAATTACACCTCTTCAACTGTGCACCTGACTCCTATTTCTGGAATCCTACAGCCCCGCCTCTGGGAGCAGGCAGCCTGCCCTATGACATCCTGGCTCCCACTGTCATCACTTGCTCACTCCTCCACCTGTAAACACCTGCTGACCACCTTCTATGTGCCAGACTCACCTTCCTGCTTCCATTTTCTCCCTCTCTGGCTCCACTTTCCTATGCCATCTGTTTCTGTCTGCTCTACAGTGGGCAGTCATTGCTTTCCCAGCCTAAGAGAGCCCAGGTCCCCACTACTCTCTCCTACTTGGGCACTGGTGGGTAGTAAAGTCTACATGGATAGAGGAGCAGGTCTGGCCAGGACACCACACCCTGAGACAGAAGGTCCCTTTCTCCCTTTCCACCATGTGCTTCACCTACTCAAACCCTTTTATCCACTCAAGATGATCAACATGGTGGGGGAAAACGTGAACCAGCCCAACTCCCTCTCAAGGAGAAAACTGATATGAGGAGGGGGTGGAACCCTGGTAACTTGCTTGTGAGCCCCCAGGGCCTGGAGGACACTGCACAGCAGAGGCAGGCAGCTGTGTGAGAGCAGGGAGAATGGGCAGGTAGCCAGCAAGGAGGCTGTCCTCTCATCTGAAAGGCTCATAGGCATGTGGGACACAGCCACAGAGAGCACGACCCCCTCACCCTACTCATAGATGGAAAAGCCAGAAAGGTTTTGAGTGCTCTCAAGCCTTCCCCGTGCCACCCACTCCATCTCCCCTCTACATGGAAGCAGTCCCCCGGGGTGTCTACGTTGCTCATGGGACTTTTGGGACGTAGATCTTTTGTCCAGAAATACTGAGGATGGTCCAGGACCACATGGGCTGGTTTACTCAGCCTGGAGATGATTTCAAACTTCCTGTGCTCCCCTAAGCCTTGGTTCTCCAACATGAACTGGCATCAGAATCCCCAGAGGAACGTGTTAAAACTCCAAGCCCAGTCCTAGTGAAGGAGACCCATCTACACCTTTCCTAGAATTCCTGCAGGAGGAGCCACTGGGAAGCATCCAGTAAATGAAGCAGCCTTGCCCCAAACTGTCTGGTCCACTGTTTGCAGCAGAGGGAGCATAAGCAGCCCCCAGAGCAAGGCCTGACCTGGCTGAGGGAGGAGCAGAGCTCTCCCCTGATGCGTCTGGAAAGCTTACAGAGAGGGTGGGACACAAGAAAGTCACTACTCGATTCTTCTTTGAAAGCTGCTAATACCACAGATCCCACCCAAGGCCCATGAGGACCTCATGCCCCAAACCCTCGGAGTTCATTTGAACCCCACATAAGAGCAAACCCCGGCTCCATGTCGGAGCTGAACTGGGTTGGAGGGACCTCTGATGTAGGGATACCTCGGCCAGGCCCTGCGTGCTGCACACCTCCCTGTCCTGCCACCCCTGCTTAGAGGCCCAGCCTAGTGGCCAAAGTCTCCTTAACCCCAGGGAAGCAGTAACAGCCTCACAGAGACAGAACTTCCTGCAGGCTCTGGTGCCATGTGAAGGGCAAGACAGCGAGGAGCAGAGGCCAATTCATAGTTCATCTCCATGAGAACTTGGGCAAGTCATTTAACCCCCCTGCCTTTCATTCCATAACATCTGAAAATGGGAATTAAGGGCACTTCTACCTTCCTGAAGACAGAGGGCTGATAAATGATCTCAAAGTGCTGCCAGCACTCAGACCCACAAGGCTCATTGGATTCAATAAAGGAAGAAAACCAAGGATTTAGGGCCAGCCTCTTACCCAGGGACACGGATGTCTCATGGTTCCCCTTCATTTACAAGCTGGGAGAGTTCTTCCTGCCAGTCTCCAGGTCCTGAGACTCATAGTCATATCTTCAGCAGTCATAGGCACCTGAATGTGCCCACACCAACATGAGTTACAGCCATTTCAAGAAATAGCTCAAATCAGTTTCAGGCTCTACTCCCCATTCCCAAATAAGAGGGCACTGTTGGTCAAAAGCAATGCATTTTCATTATGTTTGCTTCAGATAAAAGGCCGGGACCAGTGGCTAAAAGGATCCAAGGTCAGGGCTCTTGGGTTCTGGTCTCCTCTCCTGGTACAGACACATCTATGATTTTCCTTCCCTAAGCCAGGCTCATCCTCAGAGGTCATTCTGGAGTAATAGGTACAATCATATCCATTCCACCTGCCACAGATCTTTCTGCTGTGTCCCACTTTTCTTCTGGCATTAAAAAAAATATTTTTATTGATTTTATTGATTGAGGGAGAGATAGAAATATTAATGATGAGCGAATCATTAATTGGCTACGTCCTGCACGTTTCACACTGGGGTTTGAGCCTCCAACCCAGGCATGTGCCCAGACCAGGAATTGAACTGTGACCTGGTTCATAGTTCGATGTTCAACCATTGAGTCACACTGGCTGGGCATCTTCTGAAATTAAAAAAAAAAAAAAAATGCTTTCATTGACTTTTTTTTTAGAGGGAGATAGAATCATTAATGAGAAACATCAACCGAATGCCTCCTGCACACCCCCGACTAGGGATCAATCTCGCAATATGGGGATGTGCCCAGACTGGGAATTGAACCAGCAACCTCTTGGTGCATGGGTCTATGTTCAACCACTGAAACACACAAGCTGGGCTCTTCTGACATTTTTTAAGTCCTTTAAAGTCAACTGGTTACTGAAATTAGGAGCCAAGAGGTCAGGCTTTGGAGCTACGAGCTCTCCCTCCACTGAGTCTAAGGCGCTTGTTGAATCCAAGCAGGATCATCCACCTCTACTTGGTTCCTGTTCCTGGTACCTCTTGCTGCCAGGGACGGGGGCAGCCGCAGGACCCAGAAGTTCCTGTTCCTCATCAGGTTCTCCATGTTCTCCAGACGCCTCTGCAATATCTTCCCTAGCACAGCCCATTTGCCATGCAGTTGGTTCCTGAACTAAAAGGTCATTTATTTAAATTGAGTTTATTGGGGTGACATTGGTTAATAAAATCATATAGGCTTTAAGTGTACAATTCTATACAAGGTTTTCTTAAAGTCGCCAGCTTCTCTTTTCTTCAGCTGTCCTTGTCCATCCATCCTTCCAAGCTCTTTAGTCAGAGTGCCTGGGACTTCATCTTCTTTCCATGGGCTGAATGGCAGCCAAGATGGCCAGAAGGGAGGTCTCTGCAGATTGGAATTGAGCCTCCCCATATGCCATTCCTGTATTAGACATAAGGAGGTGAGTCAGCCATCAGGAGAGGGGTCCAGAGCCATTTCTAGCTACAGGTAGGTCAGGATGCTCTGGAATAGGGGGAAACTTCTTCCAGGCACCCAAAGGCCTCATTGGTCAGACCCCCAAACAGAGCCCACCTGGAAGACTGTCAAAGACAGCAGACGCTGGACTCCACAGGACCCCCATGGGAAGAATCTTGAACCAAGACCCAGAGGCAATATAAGATGAACTAACAAAGCATTACCACAATAAATGAAGAGTGTAAAGGATTTGAATCGCAGCTATACCACACAAGTGATATGAGCTTAGTCAATTACTTAACCAACCACTTCACCCAGGGACACAGCCCAGCAGGAGAAACAAAGTGAGTGAGAAACCTGAGTCCTGAAAACTTCCCAGGGCACTGATACATAGCAAGTGCTAGTTCAGTCTGTGAGTGTTCTAGAGCATCCTCCTCCCCTCCCCCGCAAACAGACACACACAGTGTGCTGTGGGAAACCTGGCAGGTGTGAGCAGCAGCAGAGTCCCTGTGCTAGTGCGGAGCATCCCACCCAGAAACCGCCCTGTACCGCAGCTGTCTGTACCAGAGAGCAGGAACCAGGTCATGTGCACGCACTCAATTAGTCCAATATATTTATTGACTCTAGACTGAGGCAAGGAACTGAACTGCCACCATCAGTTCTTCAGGGCCTTTAACACCAGCACCCCACCTTTCTTTGTTTTACAAATGAGGAAGCCAAGACCCAGAGCTGGGAGTGAGCATAAGGCCATACCAGGCTCCAGCCTCTGGAGTCCCTGAGGTCCAATCTGCTCCTGCAACACACAGGCTCCCTTGACTCATTTTGGAGGCACAACTTTCTTTGAACACCTACTGGGTGTCAGAACTCACAAGGCCTTGCCTGGCATCCAGCACATTTACTGCTTTGGAAGAAGGGGGCGTAGGTGCCTTGCAATTTCTCACGGTTTGGCTTCTAAGGATACCAGTATTGGCACAGGGCGTCTCTTAGCCCTGAGGCATCCCCAGGGAAACACCTGAGACCAGCTCTTGCAGCTGAGGGTTAAGATCAGAGCAGCTACACTTGCACCACATCCTGTTTGAGCACTTGCTGACAGCCTTGCCCAGACTTGTGGGGCCCCTGGAGAGGGGTGAGGGCTACCAGTATAGACAAACAGTGGCACCTCTTCTTCCCAAGCCCAGGGGAGCTTGGCTGAGCTGTCACTGACTTGTATACTCACTTGTGCCCTAGAGATGATGGCAATGTTACCATCTGCCCCAAACTCTGTTCATGTACAGTCTGAGAGGGCACAGCCAGGGACCCAGGCACCTGGATGCAGTCCTCTTCACATAGTGCTAGACAAATAAGACAATCAGAACAGCTGAGGACCCATCACCCAAGCTTCAAAATCACCCAACTGGAGGGCTGGTCTAGAGACAGCACCCAGAGTGGTATGATTTAAGAGGCACAAGGAGCTCATTGCTGTCAAGACTTCTCCATGAGGCATGATGCTATTGCCTGAGCATTCAGTTTGACTCTCTGCTTTGGTAAGAATTTGTTTCACTGAAATACCAAGCGCTCCTGCGGATAAAACCCAATGAGAAACTCACCCCACTCTGCACCCACCTGACCTTCCACTCACTTCACAAAATAAAGGCTCTTCCTGATGGATCCTGAGAGACTGGGCTGGAGGTCAACACAGAAGAGAGAAGCGGCCCAGAACTTGAAAGGAAGGAAGAAACCAGGCTTCCTATTTGGTTGCCTCTTAGTCTATTATGACCCTGACAACCCTAAGGTGAGGTAGGATGCACTGGGGTAAATGAGGAACACCAGGCTGGAGGTGGTGAACAAATTAATCCAGGTCTCCTGGTCGAACGCTGCAGAAGGCCCTAGTTCTTGGAGACAGCCCCCTCCTTTAACATGACAAACCACCCAGTTGGCTGACCAGCCTCACCCAAACCTGGACCTTTTGCTCAGAAGGAGCTTCTTGGGCTTGCTTCCTGAGGCACCCCCCTCCCCTTGTGGCGACCTATGGGCATGGAGCATGCACACCCTTGAACACTGAGACCATGGGGACATCATCTACTCTGGGCTTCAGTTTCCACTTCTCTACTGATAACCAAAGTCAATCAACCCCCTCTACAGGAAGGCCCAGGAACAACAGGAATCACTCTGGGCCAAGGCACACACACTTGGGAAGACACCTGGTTTCCAGGGCAGCAGCCAAGGCATCCCATCAACACCCAGGCTGGTCTGGACCCGGCCCTACGGTCCCCACGCAGAGGCAGGTGGCAGATTAGTCCTGCCGCCCAGCGGCTCGTGGTCCCCTTGGCAACCACACACAACTCTTACAAAAGCACCAGAAAAGCTTCCTAAGGAGGCAAAAAAAGTTTCAAAGTAACAAAGTAGAAAAGCCTAACTTCCAGGGCCTACTCTTCAGGCTGCCTGTCCGCTCTGCTGTTTTTCACGTACAGCGGGCCCCAGTCCTCTATGTACAATCAACACCCCAGGACCTCAATGTTTCCATCGCCTCTACTGAAAGCACCGTGATCCCTGGTCCACGTGCCCGTCCATGGAATCCGCAAAGGCCCCCACCCAAAACGAGACACCCCTAAGCCTGAGGGGGTCCTTTGTGAGTCAGGAATGTAGAAAAGGCAGCGAAGAGTAACAAACTGAGGAGACAGGAATGGAAGCAACTGTGTCGCTCATACACTGTCACCAAGAAGGGTGCTGCTTCCATTTGAATGAAAAGAAAAAGCTCTCTCCAAAGCCATCCCAGAACCAGGAGCCAGCGTCAGGCCCGAGGGGCAGGGCCCAACAGGCGGAGAGACGGTCCTGCCGGTGCCCGGGCTCCTGCCGGGTCAGCCCTCCTCCGAGTGGCCGGGCCGGGGCGGGCTCCCCGGGCAGGCCTGGCCCCGCGCGTGGGTCTGCATGTGGATGGTCAGGTGGTGGTTCCGGTTGAAGGCCCGGCCGCACTGCGGGCACTGGTAGGGCCGCTCCCCGGTGTGGATGCGCTGGTGCCGGAAGAGGTCCGAGGGCCGGCGGAAGGCCTTGCCGCAGTAGGGGCAGGCCGGCCAGCCCTGGCTGTTGCCCGTGTGCAGCCGCTGGTGCAGCAGCAGGCTCTTGCGCCGCTGGAAGAAGCGCAGGCACTCGCTGCAGTGGTACACCTTGGCCGCCGGCCTCCGCCCCACGAAGGACCGGCCCGCCAGGGCGCGGCGGCCCTCGGGCTCCTCGGGGAGCCAGCGGATGACGGGCCCGGACACCACCACCTCCCCAGGCTCCAGCGCGGAGTGGGCCTCCCCCCACCCGCTGGGCGAGCTGGCCCGGGCCTGCCGCTGCTGCTCCTCCACGTGGGTCCGCTGGTGGATGGTCAGGTTGATCTTCAAGCGGAAGCTCTGCCCGCAGTCGGGGCAGGGGAAGGTCCGCTCTCGCCGGCGAGGGAGGATGCGGGGCACCTCCCCCACCGCCCCTGCCGGCCGAGGCCGAGGGTCCCCAGCGCGCACCCTGGGCACTCCCTGGGCATGAAGCTGGCGGGGACCCCCAGTCCTGCTCTTGGGCCCCTTGGGGACTGCACTCTGGGTCTGGCCGGGGGGCTTCCCCAGGAAGAGCTGCTCGGGCATCATCTCGTCCTCGGACTGTGCCTCCGTCTTGATGACCACACCTCCAGCACCACCTGCCAAAAGGAATCTCTGCTGATTTCCTGTGGACCACCCCCCACCCCTGCCCTAATCTGGCCCTCCTGGCACAGATCCAGCCTCACAGGCACCCCCCTCCTGCCTTCACTAAACTCTTTTCTCCTGCAGGGCTCACCACAGGGAGCAGGGGACCTTCTCGCTCAGCCCCACCCACGGGGACTGCCTCCTAATGCCACCCAGTCTGTTGGTCACTTGGCCTTGCCTGCAGGCCAAGCTAGAATGTCAGGAAAGAGACAGAGCTGCAAAACCAGGGAGTCAGGAGGTCAGACCAGTGGGAGACATATAGGTGGGAAAATGAAGAGGAGACAAAGACAGGCAGAGACCCTGAACCCTGAGATTTGCTGGCCATGCAGGACCCCCAGGACTTCTGATGACTTTAGTCTCAATCTTTGAAAGACAATTAGCCTTATGGGCCCTGCCTACCTCCTTACTAGGTCAGAGGCCTCAGGGCTGGAGGTGCTGTATGCCTTAGCCACACTGAGCTACTCGTATCTGTGTAACAAATCCACAAATGAGCGCCTGTGATCTCGGTGACACACAGGTGACAGGCAGGAGGCACGAGGATCGGGGCTTCCGGGTAGGGCCTCAGTGTGGATCACACACTTGACTCTAAGACGGGACTTAGGCAAAAGAGCTTCCAGGACACAGCAGTGAAAGGGTGGGTCTGGGGCAGCAGGTCCCAAGGGTCCCTAACGTTAGTTAAGGAGGGTCCTGGCTACGGAGCCCTGCCTGGAACACTGTGCGTCCTTTATACCCTCCTATTGCTGTTCACCTCTCGTCTGCTCTGCAGTCAGCCCCCACCACTCTTCTCTAATCTCCCCCAGCACCTGGTGGCCTCAGCTGCTAGACCACAAGGTCTGCTCAAAGGGTGACCATGAACCCTGACCTCTGCACATTAAAATGAAAATCTTTAGCCCTCTACAGGCAACTTGCAAGGTCCAGGACCAGAGAAATTTCTATTCTTGCTGAAGCTTGAACTTAAACCACAAGCCAGGAGGCCAGTGCACTCAGGAGCCCTTCCATGGTGGACCTCCAGGGACAGCACCCGATGGCTCCCTGAAGCTCCCCCCTAACCCTCACAAATATCTCAGGACAGAACTTTACTTGTTAGAAATAACCCACTGGTATTAATTTAGTCCTACAGCTACAGAACCATAGAATCCATAAGAATCATTTAAACTTTGGGGTAAAATGGTGTTGCATTTAATGGGCTACCATGGAATTCCTGAACTTAGGGATTAGTGAAGGCCAAAGCCCCAGATCCCTTCATGTGAGCCCATCTGTAGCTTGGTCCCACCAGGCCACAACCCTGCGGTGGATCCAAATCTCACCTTTGCCTTCCACTGAAGCGGATACCAGGATGGAACCAGGGGAGAGTTGGATCCCTTTCTATGGGGACAGAAAACCTGCCCAAGGCCAGAGTAGGCAATAATCACTTTCTTTTTCTTGTTCACCATGGTGTCAGCCGTTTTACAAAAAATACACAGACTCTAAGTGGGAACTAAATTTAAACCGCACACAAGCTGCGACTTACTGGAGGCTGTTAGCCTGGGCCACTCCTAGGTGGCCATGAGGCTTTTCTGTCACCAGACCACAAACCTGGCAACATGCAGCTTGTTTCCCAGCAGCACTTTCCAGTCAGGCTGGACCACAGTGAGGGAAGACCAGACCACAGAGGCTCTGGGTCCCCAGAGCCCCAGGGAAGTAAAACCTGGGGGATGAAGAAGGGACCCCTCAGGAGGAAACCCAGCAGGTCTCATCATGCTAACCCCCAGCCCACTCCCAAAGGGACTCCGAGCTCCTCTGAGGCTCTGCAGTGGCCACAGGGCTTTCTCCCTTCACTCACCTAGCCCCATGCTGGGCAGGATGTCCCTAGGAGGGGAGACAGGGGACTCCCCATCTGAAGAATCTTCCTCCAGTTTAATTGCGGACAAAATGCTGGTACTGGCTGGGGGCCCTGTGGGAGAGAATCCTGTGAGGGTCTTTCCCGACACCGGGCTCCTGCAGGGTGACACAGCCGTTTCCCAGCAGGCCCTGCTTATGCTCCAGCACCTGCCAGGAAGAGGAGCCCCATGCTCCCCAGTGCCAACAACTGGTCCCTTGGCATCTGTCACTCTGATGGGCCTCTAAAGGACAGAGGGTTTGGGGAGGCCCCTGGGGCACAGTGCCAGGTCTGCAACAGACAGGGACCATGAGAGGGTCCTATCTCTCCTTATACAGTCAGTGGCCAGGAAGGAGGGAAACAGGGAAGGGAGGGGAGGCCATATTCAACTTCAGGGAGGCCATATTCAGTGGGGGAGAGGCACAGAAGTAACCGGAGAGAGAACCCCGAGTCTGACAAGCCAGGCCAGCAGGAAGGAGACACAGAGAAGGCCAAGGCAGCAAAGCGCAGTCTGAAGACAGAAAATGGCTCTGAATTATCTGTCAAGCCCTAGGCTAATGCCCTCTGAATTATATTTCATTTCTGGTAAAGGATGGCAGGAGTCTCCTTTAAAAGAAGCAGACAGAGAACATTGGAAAGGTGACTAAAGCCACAGAGCTCCTCACAGGCCTTCAGAAAGACGACAGGTACTGACGAGCACACAGGCTGGCCCCATGCTAGGGGTATGACACATACCTCCCCTTAGGAACCCACCATAAGCAGTCTATTACCTGCCCTCTGTGCCTTTCCCCTCACTCCAGACAGACCAGTGTGTCTGGCCCCAACACACCTGAGGAACCCACACCTTTGCTCAGACTATTTTCTCCTGCTGAAATGCCGTCCCCGGGAAAACTGACTTCCTCTATGGCCCGCCTCAGTGGTGCCTTTTCTAGGAAGCCTGTCCCACTCAGCCCAGCTGGTCCCAGCCATTCCCCCACCCTCTTCTCAGTACCACTGGCTGGTACTGTTGCTGGGATGCCAGTCACACTGCCACCTAACAGCCCTTACTCACCCGTGCTTGTTCCAGGTGGAGTTATTCTTGCTCCTGAGTCTCTCTGGTGCTCGGGGGCCTGCCTTTCATTTGGACCCTCCTGGTCAGACCTGACTGGGCTGGGAATGTGCTCTGGAACTGGAGGGAGAGTGGGGATACGCTAATCAGTGACACCGAGAACAACACAGAGTTCCCCAGGTAGCCAGAGCCTCTGGGAACTGGCTAGATGCAGCCACTGGGACCTGGGACATCAGGTCAAACACAGGGTATGATAATTAAGTGGACTTCACTGATCATCTAGTGACTACATTCTAGGCCAGCAACTGGTGGTCCATGAGGTCCAAAAGGATGGCAACCACTGTTCTAGGCTAAAGCTTGCATGTATGAGAAAAGGGAACAGGACAGCACGGTATCTTATTGATAGTACCAGGCAGGTCACACAACAGGGCCACAGATCTGGCTTTTTCAGGACTCCTGGCTCAGAACACTACAACCATGGTTCACAATCCCAAGTCCTCTACCAGGCTGGTATATAAGGATCCCCTAGGGAGCACCCCCAAGATTCTCATCAGTAGATCTGGGTGGGCCTAGGAAGTTTATATTTTTTAAAAGCTTCCTAAGGCAAAACATATGAACAAATATTTCACAGAATAAGAAGTTAAATGACCAATAAACAAATAAAAGGATATGCAACCACACTCATAATGAGAGGTACCATTAAAATTACACTGTTACCAAAGCCAGACAGACACTTCAAGAAAACTACATACCCATATCTCTTATGAACATTGATGCAAAAATCCTCAACAAAAAAATAGCAAAACAAAATCAGCAGCATATTAAAAGGATTAAACATCATGACCAAATGGAGTTTGTTCCTGGAATGCAAGGATGGTTCAACATATGAAACTAGATCAATGGATTACACCATATTAACAGAATGAAGGGGAAAAAGTCCCAAGATGATCTCAATTGATGCAGAAAAAGCATCTGATAAAATTATATACCTTTACCTGACAAAAGCAGAAGGAAACTACCTCAACATAACAAAAGCCATATATTAAAAACCCACAGCGAATATCATATTTAATGGTGAAAAATGAAAGCTTTTCTTCTAAGATTAGGAATAAGGCAAGGATGTCCACTTTCACCACTTTTATTCAACAAAGTGATGGAAGTTCTAGCCAGAGCAATTAGGTAAGAAAAAGAAATAAAAGGCATCTAAATTGGAAAGGAAAAAATTATTTGTTCACAGATGATATGAACATATATATAGAAAACTTCAAAAATTCCATACAGAAACTGTTAAAACTAATCAATGAATGCTGCAAGTTAGCAGGATAATAAAACTAAACATAAAAAGATCAGTTGCATTTCTATACACTAATGAACAATTTGAAAAGGAAATTACAAAAACAAGTCCATTTATAATCATATAAAAAATATCTTAGGAATAACTTAACAAAGGAAGTGAAAGACTTTTACAATAAAACTACAAAACATTGCTGAAAGAAACTACATTAGCCCCCCCTATCAATGTGGAATATATCCAAGACCCCCAGTGGGTTCCTGAAACCACAGGTAGTACTCAACACTCTCTGTTTTTTCCTACATATGCATACCTATATAAATTAGGCATAGTAAGAGATTAACAACAATAACTATAATAAAATAGAATAATTATAACAATATACTATAATAAAAGTTATGTCAATGGCTTTGGAGCCATTATTAAGTAAAATAAGGGTTATTTAAACACAGCGCTGTGATACCTTGATGGTCGGTCTGATAACCAAGACGGCTACTAAGTGACTTACGGGTGGGAAACATATACAGTGTGGATACGCTGGACAAAGGGATGATTTCCATCCTGGGCAGGATGCAGCAGGACAGCGCGAGATTTCATCACGCTACTCAGAATGGCACGTAATTTAAAACTTATGAATTGTTTACTTCTGAAATTTTCCATTTAATATTTTCGGATCGCGGTTGACTGCAGGTAACTAAAACCATGGAAAACAAAACAGTGGATTAAGGGGAGATTACTGTAAATACATAAATAAGTGGAAACACATCCCATGTTCATGGATTGGAAGACTTATTATTAAGATGTCAATACCACCCTCAGTAATCTACAGATTTAATGTAATTCTTATTAAAATCCCAATGGCATTTTTTTTTTCCAGAAATAGAAAAATCCATCCTAAAATTCATATGGAATCTCAAGGGACCCCGAATATCCAAAACAATCTTGAAAAAGAAGAACAAAATTGGATAACTTCCTGATTTTAAGGCTTACTGCAAAGCTGCAGTAATCAAAATATTGTGGTACTGGCATAAACAGAATAAATAGAATAGAGAACCAAGAAATAAGCCCTCACATATCTGGTCAAATGATATTTGAGAAAGGTGGCAAGACCACTTAATGGGGAAAGAACAATCTTTCAACAAATGTGGCTTAGAAAACTAAATATCCACATGCAAAAGAATGAAGTTGGACCCTGATCTAACACCACGTGTAAAAATTAACTGAAATGAATCAAAGCCTAAATGCAAAATCTAAAACATAAAACTCTTAGAAGAAAACACAGGACAAAAGCTTCAGGACACTGGATTTGGCAATGATTTCTTGGATATGACACTAAAGGCACAGGCCACAAAAGAAACACTGGACAGCAATAAGACACTTTCATCATAAAGCCATTATATCAAGTTTGGGAGTCATAGCAGATCTATCTAATACACAGACACAAAATGGGGAGACAAAGAAGAATGCCCCAAATGAAAGAACAAGAGAAATGCTCAGAAAAATAATAAAATGAAATGGAAGAAACCAAAATATCAGATACAGAGTTTAAAACAATGGTTATAAGGATGCTCAAGGACCTTAGAGGAAGAATGGATAATCTCAGTGAGAACTTAAAGAAATAGTGACCATTAAAAAGGACGTAGAATCCATTAAAAAAAGTAACAGACAAACTAGACTTTGTGAACAATTTTAAATTTGTGCATTAAAAAACACTATCAACATAATTAAGCAATACACAGAATGGAAGAAAATATCTGTAAGTCATCTATCATATAAAGGATTAATATATAGAGTATATAGAGAATTCCTAAAACTCAACAACAAAGAAACAACCTGACTCAAAAATGGTGAAGGACTTGACTAGACATTTCTCCAAAGGAAATATTTCAATAAGTCAATGAGAATGGTCAATAAGGACATGAAAAGTTTCTCAGCATCACTATTGGGGAACTGCAAATCAAAACTACAATGAGATACTACTTCACACTCATTATGACGTTTACTATTTAAAAAAACAACAGAAAATAACAGTACAGCCATTGTGGAAAACCGTATGGTGGCTCCTCAAAAAATAAAAATAGAACTACCACATCATCCAGCAATTCCACTTCTGAGTTTATACCTAAAAGAACTGAAGGCAGAGTACTGAAGACATATTTGTACATCCATGAACATAGCAGCATTATTCACAAGAGCTAAAACATGGAAGTAACCCAAGTGTACATTGATAGATTAAGAGATAAACAAAATGTGGTCTATCCATGCAATAGAATATTATTCTACCTTAAAAAGGAAGAAATTGTCCTAGCCAGTTTGGCTCAATGTCGGCCTGAGGACTGAAGGGTTCTGGGTTCGATTTCGGTCAAGGGCATGTACCTCAGTTGCAAGCTCAACTCCCAGGCCTGACTCCCTGGTTGGGGTTAGTGTTAAGAGGCAACCAATCGGTCTCTCTCACCTCAATGTTTCTCTCTCTCTCCATCTCCCCCTCCCTTCCCATATCTCTAAAATCAACAGAAAAATATCCTCAGGTGAGGATTAAAAAAATATTAAAAAATATATAAAGAAAGACATTCAGCACAGGCTACAACAGGGATGAACCCGGAGGACATTATACTAAATAAAATAAGCCAGTCATAGCCCTGACTGGTTTGGCTCAGTGGATAGAGCGTCGGCCTGCGGACTGAAGGGTCCCAGGTTCGATTCCAGTCAAGGGCATGTACCTTGGTTGCAGGCACATCCCCAGTGGGAGGCGGCTGATCGATGTTTCTAACTCTCTATCCCTCTCCCTTCCTCTCTGTAAAAAAAATCAATAAAATATATTTTTTAAAAAATAAGCCAGTCATAAATAGACAAATACTGTATGAATCTACTTATATGAGGTACTCAAGAGTAATCAAAATCATAGAACTGTTGAGTGCCAGGGGCTGGGAAAGGGGCAGAATGGGGTTATTATTTAATGGTATAGAATATTTTTCAGCTGGTGTGCCACAAGAACTTTTAAAACATACAATACCTGACAATTTGATCAGGGGCACTGAACTCTTTTTCCTTAGATTGTCAAATAAAAAAATGACAACAACTTGCCCTAGCCAGTTTGGCTCAGTGGATAGAGCGTCAGCCTGTGGACTGAAGGGTCCCGTGTTTGATTCCGGTCAAGGGCATGGACCTCGGTTGCAGGCTTCTGGCCTTGGTAAGGGGCATGTGGGAGGCAACCAATCGATGTGTCTCTCTCACATTGGTTTCTCTCTGTCTCTCCCTCTCCCTTCCATTCTTCCTAAAAAATATCCTCGGGTGAGGATTTAAAAAGAAAATAAAAAAATGACAACTACCACCAACACAATAGCTATCGGTGTGAATGAATCAAAATTATACATATTTTTTGGTCAGGTCAGCAAAAAATATATTTTTTGGTATACCACAGAATTTTAGTAATTAGTTTGTGTGCGCCATGAGATGAAAAAGGATGAAAATCGCTGGTATAGAGTTTCAGTTTTACAAGATGAAAGAGTTCTGGAGATGGATGGTGGTGATAGTTGCAAACATTATGAATGTACTTAATGTCTCTGAACTGCACACAGAAAAACGGTTAAGATGGTAAATTTTATGTTATGTGTATGTGACCACAATAAGAAGAAAAGAAAGTATCGATACTCAGCACAACATGTATGAACCTTGAAAACATGCTAAGTGACAGAAGCCAGAGACAGGGGTACTTTGGTTATGTTTTGGGGGGAAAGACATGGACACAGCAAATGTGGCAAACTTTTGATCACTGGTGAATCTGGGGGATGATCATCTGGAGGGAAAGTACTATTCTCTCTACTTTCACTTATTTTTTTAAATTTTATTTTTAAAAAGCTTCCCAGAAGATTCTGATATGCAATCAACTTTGGAACCACTGTCCTGTATATACCAGCTGTGGGGATGAAATCAGCCCCGGGCTCCTGCGAGAGGGTCCATTTCCCCAAAGGGAAGCCGGTACAGCTCAGGCCTTACAGCTGCAGGTGATACAGTTGGGAGCCAGGAGGTGGTGGCAATAATGCTGCTGCTACTTGTAGTACTGCTAGTAACAAGTTCCTATTTACCATAGAATGCTCGGCTTTGCAAAGCCCGCCATCACTTTTAGTCCCCACAACCGTCAGGTACGGCGAGGACCGCCGTCCTCTTGCACAGAGGCAGAAACCGTATGGCTCTTACGGCAAAATCCCTGGACCCACCCGACGGGCCGGCCTGAGACAGAGCGGCCCCACTTTGGGTTATGGGCCTGTGTTCCCTTCCTGGCCTCACAGCATGCTGGGAAGCCCGGGAGAGCAGGGACATGGTTCAGTTTGCCCTCACCATCTTGCTCCCACTCACCAGCGTCCGGCCTTCCCGGGCAAGCTGCCTCTCTCTCTTCCCCCTCCTCCTGGCCCCACAGGCCTTCAGGACAAGGATCCTCTCCCCTCTCTATCCGAGTGAGGATGTCTGGTTTGGAGATGGCATAATCTGTATACAGAATGGAGAGAGAGAGAGCTGGGTCAGGACACCTGCCACTCGGTTCACTGCACAGATGTAGAGACACCAGAGGAACAGGAGCCAAAGCAAAGACCCAGACAGAGGGCCAGATGCTATGACTCGGCCTTACCCAGGGAGACCAGCATCTCGTAGTTGCCCCTCATCACGTGCTTGTACAGATTCTTCTGCCAAGGATCCAGCTTGCCCCACTCCAGCTCGGAAAAATACACGGCCACATCATCAAAGGTCACGGGCACCTAGAACCACAGTTGTCATGAACGCCTACCCACACTTACAGGCACAGCCCCGGGGGCTGCCCCACCCCAGGTGCCCAGCTTACCTTGGGGGCCTCTCCCTTGCTGCCCGGGGGCAGCCGCAGGATCCAGAAGTTCCTGTTCCTCAGCAGGTTCTCCATGTTCTCCAGCCGCCTCTGCAGCAGCCCGTACTCCTGCAGCAGGGTCCCCAGCACGGCCCACTTGCCCTCCAGCTGGTTCCCGAACTCCAAGGTCGTCTTCTCAAAGTCAGCCAGCTTCTTCTCCGCTGTCCCAGTCCGTCCCTCCAGAGTCAGCAAGCGGGCCAGACAGGAGTCCACTTTCTTCTCCAAGGCCTGGATAGCAGCCACCACTGTCCACAGCGTGATCTCCGTGGAGTAGAGGTAGGAGTTCTTCTCAGCAGCCAGCTGGGGTGAGGGAGAAGTTGTCGAAGGCCTTTCGTCCCCTGTTTGTCTGTCCCTCTCTGAAGCCTTTACTCAACAAGAGAACGGAGAGACGTTACCAGAACGATACAACCAAAATGTCCACGTCAAAAAGAAACCTCAGAATGGCACCTGCCCCGGTGAAGCCCCATCTGGGATCCTAAAGGCAGCCAGGCAGCCGTGTCGGCTGGGGATGTGAGGACATCAGTTACACGTCCAGGTCAGGAGACACTGGCTGGACCACAGTATTAGCAAGTGAGAAACAGAAGGAAAAACATGGCCAAAGAAAGAAGTATCTGTGGTCTCAAGACAGGTGACCCCTACCTGGGTCTTGGTCTCTTCCTCTGAACATGAAGGGACAGGCCTTGAATGAGGTACAGAGAACATGAGCTCTGCGCTCAGCCAGCCTGGGTGCAACTGGCAACTCCACCTGGCTGACGGGGAGCAAGGTTTCTTACACACCTTTCAACGTCCCTTCCATATCTAGAAAGGGGAGCTAATAATAGGACCTACATGACATGATTATGAGAATTAATGACACAATTTGGTAAAAAGCACTCAGCACAATGTCTAGCTGTGCTTCCCAATAAATGTGAGCCCGATGCTGATACGGCTAAGATGACTGTGAGGAGAATGTTGAGGGTATGACGGTTCTGGCTCAGGAAGGCAGTATGAATAGTGCTGACAGGGTCCCGGAGTGCCTTGGAAAAGAGCTTCTGAAGTGCCTCAGCTTACCTGGGTGCCTGATGACAAGCCTCCCTGAGGCTTGCGCAATGGCCTCAGTCCCAGGTCATCTTGCTAAAAGCCTTGTTGGAATGACAAAACAACATATCGCCCCTCCATTTCACTCATCCGTCTCAGTCAAATCACAAGTCTTACTCTTTGACTTCTGAAATCACCTCAAATCCACCCCTTTTCTCCTCCTCCACTGCCATCACCTAGTCCAAACCCCCTCACCTGTCACCTGAACCACTGCAATTCCGCCCAATTCATTTCCCCACTTGCTCCTCCCCCTCAGTACTCTCCTCAGCTCCCCAGTATACCTAGAATAAAATATAAACTTTTTTAAAATATATTTTTATTGATTTCAGAGAAGGGAGAGAAAGACAGAAACATCAATGACGGTAATCATTGACTGGCCGCCTCCTACATGCCCCCTACTGGGGATTGAGCCCTCAACCCAGGCATGTGCCCTTGATCGGAATGGAACCTAGGACCCTTTAGTCTGCAGGCCAATGCTCTATCCACTGAGCCAAACCGGCTGGGCAAAACCTAAACTTCTTAGCAGACTGCAGCCTACCTCCCTGACCTGTCTCCTCCTGGGCACTGACTGCTCTCCAGCCGCCCTGGCCCCCTTGGACTCCTCCACCTTTGCATGAGCTCTCCTCCTGGCTTCCTCTCATACAAATCTCCAGCTTAGACATCGCCTCACAGGGGCCTTCACAGACCCACACGTCTAAAATAGTGCCCTGTTATTCCCTTCCTTCATAGCACTCGTAGGGAGCTAGGGTTAAGCCTCGTACTGACCTGCGGCAGGGCCACAAACAAGTCCCAGCTTGGAGGGCAGAGCCCTCTTAGCATCATTAAGCTTAACCTTATAGCCCTCCCTAGTTTGTTCCTAGGAAGCTAATGAGCTGTGGGAGGTGCAGCAAGTGCTGCCAAAATAAGTGAAACTCACAAAAACATTGTAAACATGTTGACCACTGCCCCTGTTTTGATCTCACTATAAAATAAAGCCTCCTGCAGGCAGAGGAGACCTGCTGAGACCCAGCTGTATTCTCTTGTCTGTCTTATTTAATCCTTCACAGCCCCTCCTCAGGCTCACGGAACCCTTGGCTGTGCTGGCAGGGCACAAGCACTAATAACCTATGACAGTGATGGCGAACCTATGACACACGTGTCAGAGGTGACATGCAAACTCATTTTTTTGGTTGATTTTTCTTTGTTCAATGGCATTTAAATATATAAAATAAATATAAAAAATATAAATCTGTTTTACTATGGTTGCAAAGATCAAAAAATTTATATATGTGACACAGCACCAGAGTTAGGTTAGGGTTTTCAAAATGCTGACACGCCGAGCTCTAAAGGTTCGCCATCACTGACCTATGACAACCCTGTGTGTCTGCCTGGGTTATGGTTTCCCCCAGGGACATAAGCTCCATGAGTGTAGGTGCTAATTCACAGTTGTATCTGTGTAATGTTTGTTCCCCCACGTCCTGCGTGGTTCAGGGTTCAGGATCTGGAAGAGGAGCCGCACACAAATGAAAGAGAAGAGACAAGAGATAATTTGGAAATACTGGGGGGTCAGGCAGGTAAGTCCAACTCAAGGGGAAGGACTTCCACTGGTGCGCAGGCCTCACCAACCTTTTATTGGTTTGGGATCCACCCATAGCCCTTAGGCAGGCAATTTCCAGTAACAGGCAGACTAGCCCATCAGCAAGGATTTACATAATAATAAATGGGGAAGTTGCTTCAGCTACCATTGTCTGGACTAACAGTGGGTGCACAGCCCTGACCTTTGCCAGGGCTTCAAGGGTCACCAGCCTTCCGGGTTCCTTGTCCACACCTCTCTGCTAGTGAAGACAATAGGTGGCTTCCCACAGTATCCCCAGCTTCTAAGAGTGCCTCACTCACAGCAGGTGCCCAATCAATGCCTACTGAATGAATGAATGAATGAATGAATGAATGAATGACTAAACAACACATTCATCCAGTAACAATCACAGAACACCTGTCATCATCTATGGGGATGCAGAGAAATAACCTGGCTCTTCCTTCCTTCTCCAGCAGGAAAATTCTGTATAGAAATACAAGAGTGATACCTAAAGGCTAACAAAAGTTGGGGGCAAATCAGTCCTGTTTGGGAGCTTTTCTAAGGAATCTCAGGAGATGCAAGTGGGCAGAGGGGAAAGAAGAGGGTGGATAGGATCCGTCAGAAAGAGCGCTGGGCTGGGTGGGAGCTGAAGATGTCACCTGTGTAGTTACAGAAAGGCCACCTGCAGCTCTCCCCAGCAATCCTGCAGCCCTGCCATCTCATGTCTCTCCCGGGCACTCAGGGAGACCTCACGGAAGTGGCGGGAGAGAAAGTTCCTCCTTGAGAAGCAGCCAGAAAAATAAAAAACTTCACTGACAAGTATTGATGAGAGGAGGTACCATTGATAGAGCTCTTCACCACCACTTCTCTACTGTGTCCGAACGGCCAAAGGATTGCTTTCTCTGACTTGCACATACAGAACATTATCAGCCAACATTCCAAAATGTGATAAAGCAATCTTAACAATAAAAATCCACCTCCACTCTCTCGTGTAAACAGCGTTTAGTACCTCTGCCTTAGGTACGAGCGGAATACCGGGTCCCTTAAAGGGCATGTAATTCCACAGCCCTGGCCTGGCCTCCACTGCGTGTGACCCTGGGCCGGTCCCTTCCCGGAACCTCAGACGCGGCTGTCAAAGCCCAACGGGGCTGGAGACCCTGCCCGACCGCCGGCCTCCGGGCCGCTGGCCTCCAGTGACACAATGGATGGGGAGTCGGCCACTCGGTTCCAACGCAAGGCCTGCCACCGTGGGTGTCGCTGGAAAGCGGGCCGATCCCCCGCCGCCGGGCCGCCCACCCCCCGGCCTGGCCTTTGGGCCGCCCGGTCGCTCGGCCCGAAAGCGACGCGGACGCCGACGAGGGAGGCCCGGTCCGTCTGGGCGTCCGCGGGCCCGCGCTTACCCGGTGGGGCGCCGCCTCGGCCATGGCTGCCCGTCCCTCGCTCGCAGCTCCTCCCGGCGGCCTGTCGGGCCCGGCGCGGCGCGCTGGCGGCGGCGGAGGCGGAGCGGAGCCGCCCAGCCTCGGAGCCCCAGCCCGGCGGCCGCGAGCTGCGTCCGAGCCACGTGCCCCGCCGGCCCTTTAAACAAGAGCTGCGCTCGCGGCCCGGCCCGCGGGCACACACAGCGCCCCCTGCAGCCCGAAGGACCGCACGCGCGTGGCCGCAGCCTGGCGTCCCGGCGGCCGCGGGGGCCACCCAGGGGGGCGGGCCACCCAGCCTCGCCTGGGCCGCGGGAGTGGACACCGTCGGGCGGGCGCCGGGCGGGTGCGGGCCACGCTCAGACGCAGCTCGCGGGGCCCAGGCCGGCCCCGAACCCGCTGCAGGATGGCGGGGCTTAGGGAGCCCAGTGTCCCACCCAGGAATCGAGCCAGAGAGCTGACAGGGGAAAGGCGTGACTTCAAAACTTTGGGAGGTCCGCCTCGCCCCAACCCCCGGTGGGGAATCTCAGTGTATGTAGAATCACCGTTTTAACACCTCTAATGGACCCAAAGTGACTATTAGTTTGAATATAGTACTTCATGCCCAGGAAAAAATAAAGGTTTTAACTCTTAAAATCTATCAACCTATTTATTGATTGATTGATTTCAGAGAGGAAGAGAGAGGGATCCAGAGATAGAAACATCAATGATGAGAGAATCACTGTCGGGCTGCCTCCTGCACCGCCCCCTACTGGAGATCGAGCCTGCAACCCAGACCTACCGGTTCATAGGTCCGCGTTCGCTCAACCACTGAACCACGGCCAGCCAGGCTAAAACTCGTTTAGTTTTCCAGACCAAATAGAGATCTCAGGAAAAATTTAATTCATTGAAAAAAGGGGGAAAAAAGCCTTCCCTCTCTTCCCCAAACAGCTTTGGGAATCCTCAGTCCCCTCTTCCTTTCCTGAGACCTAGCCCCTGAGCAGAGCTGTGGAAGTCCTCTGTGCCACAGTGTACCCCCGAAGTCCTCTGTGCCACAGTGTACCCCCGAAGTCCTCTGTGCCACACTGTGTCCCTGAAGTCCTCTGTGCCACACTGTGGACCAAAAAGGGGCCACATACTAAACCTGACAAGCTCAGCAAAGGCCTGCTCCGTATGCCTTATAAACTGAGACCTAAAGTAACCACACAGGATGGTCTGAAATTAAAACTTTCTAACAAAAACTAATCATGGCAAGATTGACCTTTGTCAGGGGAGATACCCTGACAAAGGTTAATCTTTAACTTTAACTGAGCCTGTCTATTGTCTTTTTGCATCTGTGAAATGCCAGGGTGCCCTGGCTAGGGGTTTCAGTTGGTTGGAGCATCATCCCATGCACCAAAAAAGGTTTCAGGTTCAATTTCCGGTCAGGCACATACTTGGGTTGTGGAATTGATCCCCGGTTGGGGTGAGTATGGGAGGCAACCGATCTCTTTCCCTCTCTCCCCCTTCCTCTTTCTCTAAAAATTAAAAAATAAATAAACAAAAACATATCCTTGAGTGAGGAGTAAAGAGAAAAGGAAAAGAAATGCCAGTGTAATTTCTTTTATTCTAGACCCCTCACTGCACCAGAGCAGAGACCACAAAACCCTTCTTACGGGAAGCAACCAATCGATATTTCTTTCTCCCTTCCTCCCTCTCTAAAAAATCAATAAAAACATATCTTCGGGCGAGGATTAAAAAAAAGAGAAATGTCAGGGTAATTTCCTTTTTTCTGGACCCCTCACTGCACCAGAGAAAAGATCACAAAACCCCCCTTGATTTGTTATAGTGTTAACTGCTAACTATCCTATAACCACAAATGTAAAAGAAGTGTCTATTTATTTTACTTTTTATCCAATCCCAGAGATTTCTCCACTTTGCTTTCTCCCACCTCCCTAATCTATCATGTCCAGTTACATGGATTTCATGTAACCCCTTAAGCCTCCTCCTTTGATTGTAATGTATAAAATAAGGTGCAAATCTGTCATTCTCTGGAGCATTTTCTCAATATGTTAAGATTTTGCTTTCTGGCAACTGTCAGTTTGGCTCAAATACACTCATAAAAATTCTCTACAGGTTTAAACATTTCTTAGGTTGACAACGCCCAGTCTTCCCTTGCATGTCAGCCATCATCTGGAATCTTCACAGCTCTAGCTCCAGGCTGGGCTTGCAGCAAAAGTAAATCCACCACTAATTCAGGCCCCGAGGCATTTTGAATAAACCACTCGATAAGAGACCTGTTTCCTTATTTGTAAAGAGCCTTACTGTGGAAAACCAGAGTTAATCACTAAATATAAAATGAAACATGCTGTATGCAGTATAAATTTTTATTTTCTACCTTTCTGCATTTCCCATTCATTTTATAATCTTTGTCCAACAAGCCCACAAACTCTTGTTTACATTGGGCATCAATTCTTATTTTCTAAGATCACAACTTACCAGTATTTTATAATTCTTAATATATTGGTCTGATGGATCTCTGATGAGCTCCTAGTGTAAATCAAAAACAATTGTAGCCTGTAATCTATAATAATAAAAGTGTAATATGCTAATTAGCCCGGACAGCTGAACAACCTTCCAGACGTCCTCCTGACGGACAAAGCTGGGGCTTCGAGGGCTGTGAGGGCCGAGCCCCTTGCACAAATTTTGTGCATCGGGCCTCTAGTAAAGAATAAAAGGTGTTATCTGAGCAAAAAGGAGCTTCAGCCTAGAGACACAGACTAAAGTAATACCCAAACTCTTCCACCAAGACAGAGAGTCCCTTTTTGTTTTTAATCCTCACCCGAGGATATGTGTTTTTTTTATTGATTTGAGAGAGAGAACATTGATGGGTTGCCTCTCATACACACCCTGACAGGGGATCAAACCTGCAACCCAGGTATGTACTCTGACTGGGAATGAAACCTATAACCTTTTGGTGTATGATGCTCCAACCAAGTGAAGTACCCGACTAGGGTAATGAAGGCTGTTTTTGTTTTTTTGTGTGTGTGTGTGTGTGTTTTCTTTAAATATTTTTTTATTGATTTCAGAGAGGAAGGGAGAGGGAGAAATAGAAACATTAATGATGAGAATGAATCAATTGGCTGCCTTTTGCATGCCCCCTATTAGGGATCGAGCCCGCAAACTGGGCATGTGCCCTTAACCAGAATTGAACCCGGGATCCTTTAGTCTGCAGGCCAATGCTCTATCCTTTGAGCCAAACCAGCTAGGGCATGAAGGCTGTTTTTATAGTGAAAGTTCCCACTGAGGTTCTCAATTAGGTCCTTCTTATGTGAGGTATCAAAATTGTGCAGTTCTGATAGCACAGGGCAGTTCTCAGTCCGTTGGTAGAAGACGAAACCAGGTTGACTCAGGTGGTACAAACAAGCTGGGAATAGTGCGGGCACTGAGAGCTCAGTCTGAGGTTCTCCCTGGTACACAGCATTCGTGAGGAGCCCATCAGCAAATGGCAGCTAGGCTCTTATTATTTAAAAAAGTTGGGCCCTCGGTTGGGCCCCGGGGAGCCCATCTCAGCAGATAAATTCCTTCTCGGGGCTCACATCAAATGAATCTTTCTTCTTAGGGTCCACACTAGAGATCCTCTTAATGCCTTCAGCACTCATTTGCAAATTGTCTGTTACACTGCGAATTCCACAATGAACAATGCCATATAATGATTTGATCCCTTGTTGCTTCAAAGCCACACTCCTAACCTGGCCCCAAATTCCAGGGCTGCACCTTACTTGGAAAAAGTATCAGTTTTTAAAGTGGCCCCACCCAAGTATGTAAAACTTCCGAGGGAAATTACTAGTAGAGGGAGACCAAAAATGTCACCAACCCCCTTCCTCCTTGAAGCCGACCCTGTGCAGACAATGCTGAGTTCCCTGTTCTGTGAACTCCCCTCATGCATCTGCTCATGCAATGTGAGTTGAGCACCTTTGTGCAAAGTCCCTGTACTCAGAGCTGGGGAGTCCAGATACGATTAAGACATGGTCCCTGCCTTCAAAAAGCATCTTGTGCTGTTGACTGTACCTTGTCAATCTTGTTCCTCTCTCCTGTCCACTGTGCCGGTGGACGCTCTAACCACTGAGCACCCTGGCCAGAGTGCTGAGATGCCTTTAATGTGTAATTTTTTATTTCTATGTGTTCTGTTTTGTGTACATGCATTTTTAATTTACATAAATGGTATTGTTATATATCTCAATTTCTTATATTTTTCCACTCAACATTATATTTTTAAGATCAATCCATATGACTACATGTATACTGAAGTCAATATTTCCAACTGCTACCCAGTACTCCCTGGTGCACCTGCCTCCTCTACCTACTGCCTTCCAACAACTGACATTCAGACTGTCTGCAGCCCCCAGCGTCCACCAACAGGGTCCCACACACACCCTCTTCTCGTCTGCAAATCTAGGTTTAAGTCAGCCCTGTCACTGCTCCAGGTCAGGCACCTCCTCCACCTTGCTCCTAGGAGGGTCTTCTTGACAACTGAAGAAAAACACCCAACATGAGCACATTTTTTTGCCAGTAGCAAGTTTTATTCTAAGCAACTGCCAAGTCATCAAAGGGGACACTCACACAGGACCCAGGAGCCCACTCCCGACAGCAGTGCGGCAGGCATTCAACACTCCTGGGAGACGAGCACCCACGTGCTTTTTCTCCATCATCTCTGGAACAGTCAACCCCAGAACTAATTGGGAAAGTGTGTCATTTGAACAACCTCAAGGAACAACTGGTCTAACAGGAACAAACTCAAGTACAAGCTGATACAAGCTGAACAACCTTAAGTAACAAAGGAGTCGTCTACCCTGTGAGGCTGCAGAACCCAGCGAGGACGCAGATGGAAGAGGAAGAGAGCTGTGGTGAGAAACCCAAGCACCGAGCTCCTGGGAGGAAGCAGCTCCGTACTCTCAGCTCCTTTCCCAGACTCCTCATTCTCAATGGGGGCTTTTGGGGTCCTCCCACGGCTCTCCCCCCCTCGGTCCTTTTGATTCAGTGAGCCCCATCCGAGAGTGCTAAGTCCCCTCACAATAGGGAGCCCGCGTTATGCACCCTGATCACTGGCCTAAGTGTGGGCAGGCTAAAGGAGGCCCAGAAACAATTCCCTCCCAGATGGCAGCAGTCCCCATGTTAGGAACAACTTCTACAACTTGGGAAGTTTAAAAAACAAGTGTCAGGCCGTATTTTCTTTAAATCAGCTAAAATCTAATTCCAAAAAGGTTCTTCAGAGCAAGGTGAGCAGTTCACTTAAATTACTTCTACTTGTTATTAACAAGGAGACTACAACAGAAGAGGAAACAGAGGGTTATGCTTCCCAGAGCTCTTCTGCACACCTGCTCATTCCTTTGGCCCGACTCCACCCGTGGGAAGACCTGAAACCCTGGGATAGACCCTCAAACCAATCCCAGTGCACAAGTATCAGCATGGATGGGAAAACCCGAGACTCGAAGGTGCCAAAGACACGGCAAACACAGCAGCAGGGTAGACAGCAGGGACAGGCCTGGCCCCGCCCCTCCTCCACACAGTTCTGAGGACTTGGGCTCGGCCTGCTGCTTGGCCAAAGATAGGCAAATCAAAATGACACCCCCAAGGAAGAAGTCAGTCCCTGACTCTGCACAGTGTCTCTTCGGGGGACCAATGCCAGCCCCCTCAGCCCCCCCGGACAGGCGGGGGGCTGGCACCCTTAGAGCAGGCCGTTGGGCCTGCCTGGCTCCGAGGCCAGCGCGCCTCGCTCCCGCTGGTGGATCTTCTGGTGCTGCAGGAGGTGCTGCTTCTGCACGAAGCTCCGCTCACACTCGGGGCAGGTGTAGGGCCGCTCACCCGTGTGGATGCGCTGGTGCCGCACCAGATCTGATGGGTGGCTGAAGCTCTTGCCACAGTAACCACAGATGAGGCAACTCCGGCTTTTCCTCCAGGGGATGTGGCCGGGCAGGGCAACCAGGCTGTTGGGCGAGAACCTCTCCTGGACACGCTGGCCACCACTGGGCCCCTCCTGCAAATGGCAGCGCTGGTGATTCGCCAGGTTCACCTTGCTGCTGAAGCTCCTCATGCACACGTCACACTGATGCTGCTTCCCCTTCTTGGACTGGGGCTTCAGCAGTGGCCTGGACCTAAGACCCTCCTCTGGCTCTGAGGTGGTGGAAGACTCCCATGATGGGTGGGCCCGCAGATAGGCCAGCTGCTGCTCACAGCGGAAGCTGAGCTCACACTCAGGACAATCGTAGGGGCCAAAATCTTCCCTATTCAGCTTCAGGGCCGGATTACATTCCGGAGCCAGTTGCACTGGCCTATTAGATTTCTGCTTCGGGGGGCCGTCCAGATTTCTGTCACTGCCAGGGTCTCTGCTGCCCTCAGTGGGCTCCTCTAGATTAGCGTCCCCGGCCCCTGGTTCCAAGAGGACAGAGCCCCCCTGAGTGTTCCAGAGCTCAGTCTGCTCCGGGCCCAGGAAAGCCGGCTCTTCCGCGGGGCCTGAGAGCTCTCCTGGAAGATCCTCAGAGCGTTCCGGCGGGTACTCTACCTCCTGCTTAATCACAACCCCTTCTGCTGCCAAAACAAAGAAAACCAACAAAAAAAGATCACATTATAGCACTTTTGGTTTCTTTGGAGCTAAACATATGTGAATCCCAGAAGGGCTCAAATCAAAGGATCAAGGGAATTAGAGACCGACTGGGTTCCAAAACCTGGAAAGGGAAACCTATCCTCAGGCAGAGACATGTGGGTGGGAAATCTGAATATATTCTTCTTACAGAACAATGTTATAAACGATAGTTTTTCTAAGTTTGTCCACAAATTATATTCAATCTCTGAAAAATGGCTAAATATACTGAAAAACTATATTTACTTAGGAGTGTTAAAGTAATAAAAATAAGATTAAAAACACACACACACAACTAAACCTATAGCTTAAAAGTTCATGTATCCAGCTGTTCTTCCTGCACACTCTCCCCAAATTACCTGGCTTATAAATGCTTTTCCTGTCTCTCACCCAGTCAGCTTCACTCCTGATGCTGTGAGCAACCCTATCCTCAATGCCCTGTGGGTTTTGACTAAAGTCCTGTGTAGGACACGAAGAAGTCCGATATGGTCATGAATCTCAAGGATTCCAAATAGCAGTAAGGAGTTCAGACACACGTAATAGGTGAGCTAATGATAATCATAAAAGAATCTAGAATAAGTAAATGCCACATGAGGCTACTGATGATCAATGTTTGGCAGTTTAGCAGTGGGAAAGCGCACTATAGACTGCAGGGAGTGGGGAGGGGAATGGAATATTCTGGAGCCACTCACCTGGATGGACACCACCAAGGCCTTCCTCCTCCAAGTCTCCCAGCATCTCTGTACCCAACTCCGCTTCTCCTTCTGGCTGGCCAAGGACCTCTGGGTTGGAAATAGCACAATGTGAGCCCAGGAGAGTAAACTCTCATTGCACACTAGTCATTTGCTGATGAACGAGGTGACCAATGTCAAGGAGTCAATATTAAATCTTCAAAGTACTGTTTCTGTCACTTTCCCCTAGTAGTTTGGGACAATTAGAAAATTATGGCCCATTGGAATGATGTATTCAGCTAACTGCGCCCTCGGTACCCCTTCATCAGTCCCCTGTGGCTCAGCAGGCAGGCACAGGAGCCCATCACTCATTCCACCAATACCACTGCGAAATGGCAGGCACTTATCCCCTACCTGTGACAGATAAGGCATCGGCCACAAGCAACACATGGCCCAGTGAGGTCACAGTAACCTTTCTGACCCATTTGCTACTTTCCTGCCCCCTCCACTCTGCTCCAGTCCCAGTGGCCTTCTTGACAACCTTCCATGAACCTGTTAGACTGTCAAACATTTTGTCTACCAAACAAAATGCATTTATAATGTAATAGCTAACATTTTGCATATCAAAATCTGTATCTATTAAGCAGTACTTCTCATCAACACAAAATAAACACCGAGACCACAACTGGCTGTGATTCCAGCCAAGTGCCCAGGACAATTTTTGGTTAGCCTGTACTGCCTGTCTCATCCCAGGTAACAAAGGATTCCTTATCAAATAGTCTTAAGCACTTGAAATATCATGAGGGCCTGGCCAGCATGGCTCAGTGGTTAAGCGTTGACCTGTGAACCAGGAGGTCACAGTTCGATTCCCAGGGTGCAGGCTAGGTCCCTGGTGGGGGGTGTGCAGGAGGTGGCCCATCAGTGATTATCTTTCATTGTTGATGTTTCTGTCTCTCCCTCTCCTTTCTTCTCTGAAATCAATAAAAAATATATTAAGAAAAAAAAATAGCATGAGGAGCCCTAGCTATGTTATACTATAATGCATATCATGACCTCTTATCTATTAGTAAATATTATCAAGATCTGACTATGTGACCACAGAGAAGGAAGGCATGACACCATGACCTTTCCTAATGTCTTGGTAAATTGAGGACCCGGAGACTCCCATTTTTCCACTCAGCACAGGCCAGGAATTGTGGGATGTCTGGGCGGAAAGGGCTGCTTACTCAGAGAGACTAGCGTCTCATAGTTGCTCATCATCACGTTTCTGTACAGCTCCTTCTGCCAGTCCTCCAGATTCTCCCACTCCTGCTCCGAGAAGCAGACTCCATCATTCTCGAGTGACCTGGGCAACTGAAATCGCAAATGTTACACAGTGAGTGCTTCCTGTCTCGGCCATTAGGGAAAAGCCACCAAGTGAGAATCTCAAATAAAAGGACTACCTTGGGGGCCTCCCCTGTGCTGCCCGGGGGCAGCCGCAGGACCCAGAAGTTCCTGTTCCTCAGCAGGTTCTCCATGTTCTCCATCCGCCGCTGCAGCAGCCCGTACTCCTGCAGCAGGGTCCCCAGCACGGCCCACTTGCCCTCCAGCTGGTTCCCGAACTCCACGGCTGTCTTCTCAAAGTCAGCCAGCTTCTTCTCCGCTGTCTCCATGCGTCTCTCCAGGCTCTGCAGCTGGGCAGCCTGGGCCTCCATCTTCTTCTCCACGGCCTGGAGGGCGGCCATCACTGACTGGAGTGACATCTCTTCGGCCTCTGTCTCTTGTGGGGGCGGCGAGGGAGAAGCCAAGGGTGTGGCACGGCGCTTCCTCCTGTGCTGAAGAGCCAGACCCGGTCGGTCAGTCAGCGCCACTTCCCAACACCAGGGAGAGTCCAGCAGACTCATAACGAGTACCTGGCTGCTACTTTTTAATTTAAAAAGTATGCTCTTTTGTATTCTGATACTGCAAATTGTACACATATAATAAAAAGTATGGAAAAATAGAGAGAAGGAAGGAGGGAAGGAGGATTATGTAAAATATGTTGTTAGAATATTGGTGTATTTCCTATAAGTTTTTTTTTCTTCCATCTTTTTTTGGTCAATGAAATTGAAATCATACTGTACATGTTTTGTTACCTGTGTCTCATACATAGCATATTGTCTAACACTTTTCTGTGTCAGGATTCATTTTTTAAACCAATTTCTCTCTGTTTGATATTTTGGGCTATTTGTGATGTTTTGCTGTGATGATATTATTTACATCTACTCCTGTCTCCACATTCCTGCCAGACTTCATAGTTGATCAGGTCCCTTTTGCTGAAACCTTTCAGCAGCCCCTTAAGGTTCCTTTAGCAGGACCTATAAGACTCAACTCATTCATCTGTGCACCCTGGCAGCCAGTATAAGTGAACAAATTCTTCATAATCATTCAGTGAAATGATCAAAGTCCTCTGACATTCTTCTTATACTTCTCATTTTTATGGTCTGTCCTTGACAAGAGGAAAATCACTGTGGCTGCAGCTCAACATGACTAAGTCCAATACTTGGGGAGTCCTCTTGAAGCTGTCCTCTTAGCCCCGCTGTCCTACTGCAGGTTCACATTTCAGTCCTAACCCCGCAAGACTCATCTCCTTTTATGTGGCACACTTTGTTCAAGGCTGCTTCTCTCACCACAATGAAGACATTGAGACCAAGACATTGAGAAGAAATATGCTTACAGGCCATTCAATGTCCCCTTTAGTGAACTACCTGCTAAAGTCTTGCCCACTTACTTTTGGGTTATCTGACTTTTCTTTCACGTCCCCTCGGATTTCACTGTAAATTCTGGACACTAATCTCTATCAGTTATATATGTTGCAAATATCTTCTCTTTATTTGTACCTTTTTTTTTTTACTCTCTTCAGTATTATTTGATCAAAAGTCTTTAACTTTAATGGAGCTGAATGTTATCAGTATTAATACTTTTATGGTTTGAACTTTTGTGTCAAAAGTTGTAAAACAGAAATCTAGAACCCACAATACAGTCTTCTAAATACTTTATAGTTTTGATTTTCTCATTTAAGTATTTACCTCAACTAGAACTGATATTTGTGGTGCAAGACTCAATTTTCATATGGGAAATCAACAGACCTAACACTACATAATGAAAAATCCATCATTTACCCACTGATCTGATCTGCTATCTCTGTCATAAGTCAAGTTTTCTTACATATGCTTGTTTCTGGCTTCCCTATTCTGTTCTACGGGTCAATTTTTCTATCACTTTGTCAATATTGCCATCTTAATGGCCATAGTTTTTTGATAATTATTGATATCTGGTAAGGAAAGTCCTACCTCCTTGTTTTACAGGAGTATATTGACTATTTTAGGCCTGTTGATATTCTACAAATTTGAAAAATTTCACACAAAAAAAATCTTTAGAGATTTTGTTTGGAGCTGCCTCAAATCCATAGGTAAATTTGAAAAGTGACATCTTTAGGATGAAATGTTTCAATCCATGCACATACTATACACTCCTTTTTAAAAGTATTTTTGATGTCTTTCAATATTTGAGCATATTTCCCAGGTACCTGTTCCAATCCTCAAATCCCAAAATTTAGAGGCTTAAGACAACAACATCTATCTTGCTCGTGCATCTGCAATTAAATGAGGGTTTGGCAGGGAGCTTGTGTCACCTGGAGCAAATAACAGGCAAGCAGGCACTGGGACCATCTGAGGAACCCCCAGCCACGCACAGAGGGCGCATGGTGACATTCTGCTTAGCAGCCCTACCTAAGGTCCCAGCCCCACCCACGGTCAGCACCAGAACACACTTTCATTACTAACAGGGTTTTGTTTTTATTTTTTTCTTTCTTTTATTATTCTTTCCTTCACCATTTATCCCTCTTCCACCTCCACCCCCATCACCTTGCAATCACCACTCTGTTGTTCGTGTCCATAAGCTCTTTTTTTCTTTTTGTTCAATCCCTCCACCACCACCTCTTTAAAAAAAAATACTTTATTGATTTTTAGCGAGAGGAAGGGAGAGGGAGAGAAAAAATCAATATGAGAGCGCAACATCAATCGGCTGCCTCCTGCACAGCCTCCACTGGGGAGCTAGCCCGCAACCCAAGCATGTGCCCTTGACTGGCAATCGAACCTGTATCTTTCTGGTGCATGAGACACCGCTCAACCAACTGAGCCACACCGGCCAGGGCAGTAATAGGGCTTTATGCCTTCTCTCTTTTCTTTTCATCAATCTCTCTATACATCAAAAGTATATATATGGGGTAGATATATGGGAAAAATTAATCATATCCTCTCTATATGTTCTGTCTACTATAATAGCCACTAGAAACATGTGGCTGTTTAAAGTTAAATTAATTGAAATTAAATTAAAAATGCAAGTTCCTCAGTCATACTAGCTACATTTTAAGTGCTCAATAGCCACATGTACCTTGTAGCTACTGCACTGAGCAGTGTAGACAGAATATTTCCACTATCTCAGAAAGTTCTTTGGAGATACTACACCCTCACTAATTGTTTCCTGCTTGATAAAATAATAAGGCAATATCAAAATCTTCTACTATGGTAGTGAATTTTCCTTGTTCTATCAACTTTTGTTTTATATATTTTGAGGCTACATAATTAAGTGTATATAACACTAGAAATGTCATATCAAGCTAGTAAATCGAGTCTTTTACCATTATAAAAATAGTACTAGTTCTCTATCTCTAGCAATATTAATATAGTTAAGCCTATTTCCTTCCTCCCTCTCTTCCTTTTTTTTGGTTAATTCTCTCCGGAGGGTATTTTTTCCATTTGATTTTAGAAAGTGGAAGGGAAGAGGGAGGGGAAGAGAGGAGAGAAACATCAATATGAAAGAGCCACATCAATTGGTTGCCTCCTGCATTCGCCCCAATTGGGGCAGGGAACCTGCAACCCAGTATATGCCCTTGACCAGAATAAACCTGCAACCCTTTGGATCAAGGGTCGATGCTCTAACCACTGATCCACACCAACAAGGGCCAATTTTCTTTTGATTAGTATTAACCTGGTATATGATTTCCTATCCTTTCATATTCAGTCATTTCCACAGCTTTATTCTGTATTGTATGTTATAAACCATACAGTTGAATTTCCCTCATCCAGCCCATCTTTTTTTCTTTTAACTAGATCATTCAGTCCATTTACATTTATTCTAATTATTGATGTATATTTATTTTGTACCTTTTCTGTGTGATTTATCCCATCTTTCATCTTCTTTCTTGCCTTCTTTTAGATGATTTTTTCCTTATTCTGTTATTCCCCCTCCTTTTTTTCTTTTAAAATATATTGTAATTGATTTTAGAGAGGAAGGGAGGAGAGATAAACACATGATGAGAGGAAATCATTGATGGGCTGCCTCTTGCACATCCCCTACTGAGGACCGAGCCCGCAACCTGGGCATGTGCCCTTGACCGGAATCGAACCCATCTGCAGGTCGATGCTCTCTATCCACTGAGCCAAACCAGCTAGGGCGATTCATGTTTATTTTTGTCAGACAGCTGGAGGTTCTACTTTAAATTAAATTCTCTGCTTGCAGTTTCTTGGACCATCCAGGTCATATAAATTCAGGCAATAAAACCATCTAAGAGTCATCAATTTTCAAGAGCCATCTTGCGCCCATCTCTCAGCACCAAGGTTTGACATATGTAACTTTCTCTGCAATCACCTGGGGCTAAGAGCTTTTAGTTCGTGAATGTTGCCCTTTGCCCTTTGGGTCTCAGCTTTATGGGATTCAGGCAGGAGGCTTCCTGACTCTCACCTTAGGCTTTGAGTTTTATCTTCTATTTTCCAGGCCCCTTGAGGTCATAAACACCACAGATGAATGTTCAGCAAAAGCCCTCAAAGTTGGTTTCAGAACCCTCCTTACCTCTTAAGAGCTCCCTCTTTCCCCTGGATTTTGGGCTCCAAGTATTCTTTACTAACATAAATATCAAGTATATTTGTGTCGTGTCGTGCCCCCCCCCCCCCCCCCCCCCCCAACGTTTTTAGTTGTTTTCATCATGGTACCTACTTGGCCACCCTGTCAAATGAGAGGTACAGAATCCTCATCTGAAGAGAAAATGCCTGAGAATAGGAATATGCTGAAGGACAATTTAAATACATTCTACAACGACAGATCCATAAGTTACTTAGAGCGTAGTTTTGAATTTTGGAGGATCTTTAAGGCTTCCTTTTAACAAGACCTGCTGATGCCATGCAAGTCGCTGTGCACTGACCAGCCAGGCAGAAGCACTCTGGCCGCTCGCCCGCTTGCCCTCCTGCCCTGCTTCACCACTAATCTGGCCCTGAGGAAAAGCCAGGTCTCTGACTGTATCGCCTTAGTTAAAGGAGTCAGATGAGGCAAATGCTGTAAACATTTGTGTCTTGTCTTCATAGTTCAACTTCAGCTTCCTTGAGAGCAAACACCGCTCTGCAAGCCTGCCAATCCTTCCCCTCCGAGTGCTCACCCCCTTCCTGCAAGAATCAAACAGCCCTGACCACCGCTGCTTCTCTCTCGCCTCTCTCCCTTCCCCTCTGTAAAATTAATAAAAACATATCCTCGGGTGAGGATTAAAAAAATAAAAAAAGAATCAAATACAGTGCATCTTGCTAGCCCTCAATTCTCACGAGATCTCATATGATTCTGAAAGTGTTTCTAGACCACGAAATGCTTGGGGCGCAGATGGGAGGCAGCGATCGATGTTTCTCTTTCTCCCGCCCCCTCTCTCTCCCTTCCTCTCTAAAATCAATAAAAACATATCCTCGGGTGAGGATTAAAAAAAAAAAAATCAATGAGTAAAAAAAAAAAAAATCAATGGGTTATAAAAAAAAACCCAACCAACCAATGAACGCTTAAATAAGTGGAACAACAGATCGATGTTTCTCTCTTTCCCTCTCTCTCCCTCCTCTCTCTATCTAAAAATCAATAATAAAAAAAAATTAAATTCCAGCCCTGGCCGGGTGTCGTCCGGATATGCCAAGGTTGCCGGTTCGATCGCCCATCAGGGCACACACACAAGAAGCAACCAATGAATGCATAAATAAGCGGAACAACAAATCGATGTTTCTCTTGCTCTTTCTCTCTAAATCAAAAAACAAAATAAAATAAACCAATTAAATTCCATCTGCCTTTTCCATCGCACATCCTCTCGCATGATCAAATCCACCACTACTTTCGAATAACAAGCGAATGTCAGAGCTGGCAGGAACCCTAGAGACTATCCAGCAACTAGTCCAACATAATTTAGGAAGAAAACGGAGGCCCGGCCCTGGGGGGTGGGAGCCGAGTTGCGGCTGGAAGCAGTTTCTTGCCTCCAAGCCCAGGACTCTCCTCTCCCCGAGCCCCGAGTCCCGCGGAGGGCGGGCTCGGGGGGGCGGGGGGACCCCCAGCCTCACCCACCAACCCGGGCAACTAGCGGCGAGCTGACACCTGTCCCCCGGGAGCGGCAGCCCAGCCCGCCTTCAACCTGCGGCTGCAGCCCCGCCGCCGAAGTCCGTAGCGGGACAATGTGGCCGGAGGGACCGGCGCAGCACAATGGCCGGGAGCGAGCCGCGCTGGCCGCCGAGGAGCGAGGAGCGCTCGGGCGCCCGGAGCAGCCGGCGGGCTCCCGGGCGGCGGTGGGGACCCAGAGTTTCCATCGCGACACCGCTCCGGGCGCCGCGGAGAGCGCGGGTGGGGACGGTCACACGCCCGAGAGCACGGAACTAGCCTCGCAGAAGTTTCCCGGCGAAGGCGCGTCGCTCGGGGGCTCCGGCCCGACGCGGAAGGGACTGGACAGGGGAGGGCAGAGCCGGGGGTCGCGGGGGCAGGTGGGCGCTCACCGGCGCAGCGGCAGCCCGGGGGACCCGCCCCGCCCCGCCCCGCAGCTCCGTCACCCCAAACGCGCCCCCGGGCCAGGGGGACTCTTACCCGAGCCGACGCCGACTCCGCCATGGCTGCCAGTCGCCCGTCCGCGGCGGGGCCGCGCCTGCTCTCCCTCGGACTGCGCGCGGGTCTGCGGGGCGTCCCAGCCCCTCCTCGAAGCCGCCACCAGCGCCGTGTTGACACAAGGCCAAGACCGGCTCCAGCCGCTCGTGCTCGGCGCGCGGGATTCCCATTGCGCCCCCGCGCGGCCGGAGGGTGAAGAGCAGCTCCGCGCGGAGGACTTGGTCCCTCCAAGTGTAGGTTCCAAAGTTAAGGCAAACCCAGCGGACTTTGTTTTTCTTATTTTACGTGCCCAGAACTCTGCTAGGTGCTTTGCGATATTCCAAAATGTATAAAACTCAGACTTTTCTCTGAGAGAACATGTAATCTAGTTGGGGAAAAGAGCTATGGTCCCAAATGGCAAGCGGTTGTATTCCAAAATGTTGCTTTCTAGCAGCTAGAAGCACACTTCCCATCTCAACAATGTGGGGTCAGGTGCCAAGGCCAACCCACCGTAGCCTATTCATTATAGTAATCACATGCCTTGGAAACCCCAAGATAGCCCTGATATCACATATGTAATCCAGTGCACATGCTGCATGTGAAATGATGCGTGTGGAGTTTTGCAACCATATTTGCCTAATTTGTGCCACATTGTCTCTGCAGAGACTTGCAATGAACTTCCACTTCCAATATAGACATAAAATGCTTCCCCTGAGAACTAAACTCTATGTTCACATGACCAAGTCCTTCTTGGCATGCAGGGCTCGGGTCAGACTTCACCTCTTCAGAGAGACATTCCCTGTATCTTCCTCTATCCCAGTCCTCAGTCTAGTTATCTTCCTCTGAACATTGTTCATAGCATTTATCACAATCCAAAATCACCTCATTTTTTTTTCATTTGTTTATATGGTAATTCACTAAAACGTCTCTCCCTCCTCGGTACTTCTATTTGCTCATAGACGTGCTCATAAATATTTTTGGGTGATTTAATAGCAAATCAGAGAGCAAGGCTAGGAAAAGTCACCTCCAAGAGAAGGCATGATGTCCAGGGCAACCACTTTGACAGATTGATTGAATCATTAATCTATTTAAAGAAGGGGCCATGTGGAGGAAACTAGTCAGCCATTGAGATATATCCAGAGTTTGATCTGCTCTCTCTGGCCAACAAAAACTTACTGCAGATACAGAAAATAATGTACAGAGATTGTGGAGATAGACATATCAGGACATAGAATACTGAGGTCATTAAGCGATCCAGGTAGAGAACTCAAACACCATTCCATTTCTATGTCCACCAGGCAACCTTATGCTGATGCTGGTCCCTGTGTATTGGGAGACAACAGGCAGGTCAGGCTGATGCAACTATCCAGCCCACCCTTGGAAATTATTAAACTGATACTCTGGCTTATCCATCAGTCAGTCTCTTGAGAGTCAGCATGATTCAGCATCCCTGACTGAGCCTGGAACTCTGGAAGAATATTTAGATCAAATTTCGAGTGTGCAAGGGAGGAAGCACCAGGCACTATTTTGCAGTGTCATGGGCTTTTGGAGATGGTAGCGCAAGGAGTTAGAAAGTGGGGCCAAGGAGTGAGACCAGCACCCCCACTTACTACATGTGGACTTTGGGCAAGTCATTAACTTATTGGCACCTCCAATTCCTCATTATTAGTGGGAAATAATAGCACGCATCTGAGAGCTGTTGTGCAGACTAAACGAGTTAGTTCAAGTCAGATGCTTACAGTGCAACCTGTCATAGTAAGAGCTCAAGATGCGCTCACGATTGCTATTATGTGTGTCCTAGCTCCTTCACTCACCAAGTGGTGTGGTTCATGTTCACTCTGCCTCAGTGTCTTCTCCCTGAGGATATGAAAACCATAGCCAAGGGTTTTTAATGGGGTTAAAATAAATGACACTGTGTAAGTAAAATGCTTATGTAGCTGAAGGCCTGGTATAGAGTAAGCACTCAATAACAGGCAACTTCTCATTTTGGTTTGTCTTTTGCTTTGTCAAGGTGCTAGAATTCACCAAGATAAATGTCTCCTTGCTGACTCTGAGAAGCCACCCATTTGTCCTTTCCCGATGACACACAGATCTTGACACATGCCTTTGAATAAACGTTTTTTTAGGAGTTCAAGCGGCAGTGGCAAGATTTATTAAAGTGAAAGTACACTCTCAGGAGGAGAGCGAGAGCGGGCAGGCTCAAAGAGCAACTATCAAATAAACTTTAAAATTAGGTTCACAATTATTCCCATTGGTGGTAATGTTATCAGAGAAATCAATATACTCATATCCTGTCATCTATAGAATGATTGAAACATGCAGAGGCCCTGGCCGGGTAGCTCACTGGTTAGAGTGCCCTCCTGATACCCCAAGGTTGTGGGTTTGATCCCTGATGAGGGCACATACAAGAATCAACCAATGAATGGATAAATAAGTGGAACAACAAATAGATGTTTCTCTCTAGAAATCAATAAATACATAACACACCCAGAGCTGAATGTGACCTTGAATCTCTCACTCACCCCCCCCCCCCATTTTTAGTGACAGAAATATTCTTTGAATTACAAATAATATAGTTTAAAATGCTTTAAAATATTTACCTTGACCTTTAAATTTTCTATTGCAAGTGTGATTTATAGTATATGTATTAGCATATATATGCCCAGACATTTTTTATCCAAGAAAGTTTACAGGCCACAGCTTTATTCCACTTAGTAGAGACCCTTTCTATTCTGTTCCCCTTACTATCCTAGTCTCTAGGTGGCAGGGACCATATCCTTTGTGTACCTTCTCTCTAAAACAAACACACACAGTGCTGGGGAGCATGCTCACTAGGCTGGAGGTCAGTGAGAATCCTAGCAGAATACGCTTGGCTCAAGCTGCACCACCCTGCTGTGTACGTGTGCAGCGGACATCTGATAATTTTGTCAGCTTAGCACTTCTCCATTCCTCTGGGCCCGTTACCTCATTCCCTTTGGGGACTCCTCCAGTTCTGGAAGGACATACAAGAAGCTCTTAGTAGCCTGGCCAGGTGGCTCAGTTGGTTGGAGCGTCATCCTGTACATCAGAGGGTTGTGGGTTCGATCCCTGGTCAGCGCAGGTACAGGAGGCAACCAGTCGATGTTTCTCATCCTCTCAAAAAAAAAGAAAGAAATGAAAACATCTTTGGGTGAAGATATTTTTAAAAAGCTCTTGCCCAGCCAGTGTGGTTGTGGTTGAGCATTGACCTATGAACCAGGTCACAGTTCCATTCCTGGTCAGGGCACATGTCCAGATTGTGGGCCCCAACCCTAGTGAGGGGCATGCAGGAGGCAGCCAATCAATGATTCTCTCATCTTTCATGTTTCTATCTCTCTCTCCCTTCTCCGAAATCAATAAAAATATATTAAAAAAAAAAAAAGCTCTTAGCTGTGGATGCTTTTCAACAGGGGATCAGGCAGGAAAATGATTGATGTTTCTCTCTCCCTTCCGCTCTCTAAAAAGCAATAAAACTATATGCTCGAGTGAGGATTGTCTTTTTCTTAACCACTTGAATTTTTACTGTGCACATTAGCTTTTAAATTAAAAGTTAATTTTAATTAACACACTATCAGATGGAGAATAAAAATCCACCCAAAGCAGGCCCTTCAGAAAGTGGATGGCAGGGTCCCCACTCGGGATCCTTGCTGCCTGGGAGAGGTCCATCTCGAGTGGCATCACCTTGGATAGCGCAGGGGCAGGGCTCACTATAGGACTCTCCTGGGGCCGGCGTTGGAGGCTGGGATGACTCCTAGCTGAGGGGCTCTTGGTGCCCTGGGAGCTACCAGACTAGGATGAAGGAACCAGATACTTTCTGCCCTCTAATTTAGTCACGAAACCTCTTTGGGAATCAGCTCCTTGAGGGCAAAATATACACAAGTATATTGATCACTCAATAGTGATCTCTCCCTATCTTTATACTCTTAACAGCCAAAAAAAAAAAAAAAAAGTCTTATTTCCAATTATTTAGATTATGAAAAGCTTGATTTCCTGCATATGCCTTTGAAAAGCAGAACACTGCTCCCCCCCCACAAAAAACAATGTTTTAGAGGGTCCCTTCTGCTCTAATAAAACTCCACTGAATTTGTCTGCTTAATTTCTCAACTAGTTTTAAGATTTGCCTCCTTCAAAAAGAATGAAGGAGAAAAATCCCAGTTAGTTGGGTTCCAGTCGCATGGAGGCTTTCCCATCCGAAGCCACAATGCAGAAACCTCGGCCCTGTGAACATGCAGTCTGCAATCTGGACACCTTTTATTTAATTTCAAGAATTCCCTTTGCATGGCAAACAGGGGTCTGAGGAAAGCCAAGCGGTGCGGGTGAGGGAGGAAGCAGAGCGCTCACAAATGTGGTGCCAGGTGCAGGCTGCCCACTGTGCTCCCGGATGGGAGAGAAGTGGGGTGGATGGGCGGCGCAGGAAAAGTCATTCTCAACACAAACAAGGGTCCTGGGGCATGCCACCCCACCCCAGTGCCTGGCCATGCAAGACGCAGAAATGGAGACGGTGGCCCCTCAGGACCATGGAGCATTGCACCAACACAAGGGAGTCCTCTGGGCGCCTCCTGAGGCGCCTGCAGGGTCTGGAGCAGAGGAGGTCTGTGTCCACGTCCATGTCCGTGAGCATGGTCAGTTAACAGATAGCACCGGTTGGGAGGCTCAGGGCAGGAGAGAGACTGAGGCTCTCGGCCTCTAGCACCCACTGCCTGGCCCTCCTGGGAAGAGATTCACTTCCTCGATGGCGGCCCCTGCAGCATGAGCCTTGCTCTCACCCTTTGGCTCTGGGGAAACTGGAATAAATCATCAGGGTGAGCTCTGACCCAGGGCACCAGCTGCCTCTGGGGGGCCGGGTCACTACTGTGTAGTAGCAAGATGGGTTGCACCAGGTTGAGGGACTAGAGGTGGGAGGGACGGGCTGGGGGATGGGCCCTGGGCCCCAGAAGTGCCCACATAGGAAGAGTCTTTCGGAAGCACATCCTGAGGCATTCTGTTGCCCATCTGTTCCCCATTCCCAGTAACCCCACGAATTGTCCCCGGTGGCTTCTGGTTACTTTTGGTGGGTCAGGGGCAAGGGAGAGACCAGGAGAGGCAAGGCCAGAGAGGTCTGTCTCTCAAACACGGGAGGTAGGCAGTGTGTGTGGTGGGGACACTGCGCTGGGTCAGGAGCCCTGGTCCCAGCTCTGCCGCTCTTCTGTAATCTGGGCTAAACCATCTGGCCTGCACCTCCTTTCCTTGGTTACCGAGTCAGGCAAACCCTACCCCCACCTACCACAGAGGGATAGGCTAAGGGTGAAAATAGATAACGGATAGAAAACACGTTTAAAAAAGTATAAAGCGCTATTCAAACGCGAGGCAGTGTTGTCGTCATGGAGGTGGCATCCCTTAGCACATCCCTCAGCTCAGTCACACCTTTGCTTCCTCTTGCAGCGTCTCGGCCTTGGGACCTGATTTCCTGATCTCGGGCTTCCGAGACTCCCTGGCTGCTTCCCTTGATCACAATCTGTGACCCCAGTGGCCAAATGGGCACTCCAGGTGTCTGCGGGCGTGCGGGAAGCCTCTGGCCTCCTCACTGTCCCTCCCGCACCTTCCCTGCGGGAAGCCGCTCAGCCGGCCCCTTGATCCACCTAGGAGATGAGCTGGGCCGTCCATTCAGGCTGGACAGGTCTAGGGGACCCCTGTCCAACTCTTGGGGACCCTGTTTAGAGTGTAATTCCTGTTCCCGATTTCCAGCGGGTGGCAGGTGGAGGGAGGGAAGGCGCACTGGGAGCCACAGCAGGATCGAGGGTCGTCAGGCCGCCCCCAGGCCCTCCGCACCCCTGCGCCTGCCGCTGGCCCTCCCTCCCCCAGCCCAGCCCTAGTCTCGGTCAGGCGGCGCCTGCAGGGGCCGCGGGGCGCCCAGGCCAGGGCCCCCGCTGTGCACACGCAGGTGGTCCTTGAGCGACTCCTTGTAGCGGAAGCTCTTGCCGCACTCGCCGCACGTGTAGGGCCGCTCGCCCGTGTGGATGCGCTGGTGCTTGAGCAGGTTCTGCTTGCGGATGAAGCTCTTGCCGCACAGCGCGCACTGGAAGGGCCGCTCGCCCGTGTGCAGCCGCTGGTGGTTCTGCAGGTGCTCCTTGCGGCTGTAGGTCTTCTCGCACTCGGAGCACTTGTAGGGCCGCTCGCCGCGGTGCGTCATCTGGTGCCGGATGAGGCCCGAGTGGCAGTTGAAGCTCTTCTCGCACTCGGCGCACTCGTAGGGCCGCTCCTTGGTGTGGCTGCGGTGGTGGATGATGAGGCTCTTGCGCACCCCGAAACTCTTGCCGCACTCGGGGCACGAGTAGGGCTTGCTGCGCGCGCCTTGCAGGAGGCCCCGCCGGAGCCCGCCCCCCGGGCAGCAGCTGCCGCAGCCCCCACCGCCCCCGGGTCCCCCGCCTGCGCCCCCGCCGCTGCCAGCCTGCGCCCCGCCAGCCGGGCCCCGCTCCCCAGCCAGTGCTGGGAAGCTGTCATCCAGCAGCCCGGCCGCGCCCCGGCTCAGGGGGCCGCCGGCATTCTCGGCCACCGGAGGTGGGGGCAGGCTGGGTTGAGCGGGCTGGGGCGGCTGGGCCGGGGCCGGGTTCTTCACCAGCAGCAGGTTGTCACCTGGGGAGGAAGAGACAGAGAAATGACACCCTGACAGAAGCTCTGACCGGGACCCCACACTGTCCCTGCGAGGGGCCCAGGTGCTTAACTTACTCAAGTTGAAAAGCTTGTCTAGAGGCCAACAGGAATGGGCTGTGGGGAGCTGGGACCATATCTACCCTCCCAGGTGAGTCATCTTTCTACCAGGCAAGCTGCCTTCCGACTTGTACAGCAGCCTGGTCAGCTGGGTGGGTGTGAGTCCCATCCTGAGGCCTGACCCCACCTGGACCCTGACCACGTGTGCCTGGGGCCCCGTACCCCAATGTGGAAGTGGCTGCCCAGCCCGCCTCCCCAGGAAGCCTATTCCTGCTCCTGCAATGATGCCTTTTTCGTTGCACCCCCATGTCTCAAGGACAAGTTCCCAGTTTTCCTGTACCGTGAGGCACAAAGTCCAGGCTGAGCATCAGAGCAGTGACCTTTGACCCAGGATTCCGCCTAAGGAACTACTCCCTCTGCAAACTGGAGTCTTTTCATCTCTCTACCCTCCATCACCTCCCCAACCCCCATTTGGCAATCCTTTCCCCTGGGTGTCCCCCTCCCCCACTCAGGGGCAGTCCATGGAAGAAGAATAAAGGTGAAGCTTGCACCCTGTCCCCCACCTCTTGTGGGCATCCCTTTCTCTCCTCTGCCCAGGACCCATCTGCTCCCTGGAGGCGACTTTTCAGTCCACATCTGCCACACTCCTACCCCCATGCTCGTCAGTATCTGAAGCCCGTTCTCCTTCTATGTCACCCCTAAACAGACTGGGCCCAGCCTGTTCTCTCTATGCCAATCACAACTGACCAGCAAACAACAAAGAGCCCTCTCCAAAGGACAGTGGCCAGAGCAGAGGTAATGCTCAGGCCTCAGTCAGCATGTCCAGGACAATGCCTGCGGCCTCGCTGCTCCTTCTACTCCAACCTGCTCCCCTCATTCTTTCACGGGCATTTCCCAGAGGACCCTGAGGACACCACTTACACTAAACCTCCATCTCAGGGACTGTTTCCCTAGAAACCCAACCCAAAACAGCCCTAATGCTACTCTGACGATTCCGCAAACGCGGTGTGAGCACCGGGCTGCTTTTGTCTCCTTTGTTCTCCCTTCCTGACCCAGCTTAGCTCTGTGGTCAGCGCTGCGGTCACTCATGGTGAAACCCCCTCACCCTCTGTCCTCTGTTCTGCCTGCAACCGGAACCCACTGCTGCGTCCGGCCTCAAGCAGCTGAGGAGGGCTGGAGAAGTCACTCATGTGTCAGAAGGGCCTCCACTCTGAATTAAGTTTGTCTCACAGAGAGTGGGATGTGCTGACCTGGGTTTGAAATGGCCCTTCAGGTCAGGAATGACTTGTGTCCTTGGCTCTTACATGGATTTTAAGCTCTTAGAGGGTGTCAGGAATATGGATTCAACATTCCGATCAACCAGAAGAGGTGATGGTACTGGGTCTGGCAAGGAACGCTACCCTGATGCTAAGGGTGTTAAATCCCCATGAACATATGCCTAAGGTCACTGGTTAATACGTGGAGCTTCAAAAAATGCCCAGGAGACCAAACTGAGTGAGACGTTTGGTCAGAAACCTGTTGGTGGTGATGGTGGGGGGGGAGGGGGGAATCCCCTCTCTCTACTCGAGCTTCAGGATCTTCACCAGTGACACGGGGGTGCCAGCTCAGGGCTGGCTCCGGCCAGTGCTGTCTAGACGTGAGCCATCAACTCCTGTCAGCTCTGTCCCAGCCCACTCTCCTTTCCCTACTGTTATGGGCTAAATTATACCTCCCTCCCCTCTCCCACACCAAAAACTATAAAAATCTGAACGCCCAGGACCTCAGAATTCAACCTTATTTGGACACAGGGTCCTTGCAAATGGAATTAGTTAAGATGAGGTCCCCCTGGAGGAGGGTGCCCCTGATCCAATATGACTGTGTCCTTATGAGCCTGGTGAATACACAGATGCCACGTGAAGACAGAGGACTAGGGTGACACACTCACAAGCCCAGCAACACCAAAGATTGCCAAAACACAAGAAGCTGGTAAAGGCAAGGAAGGATTTCCTAAGCTTTCAGAGAGGGTGTGGCCCTGCCCAACACTTGACTTCAGACTCCTGGCCTCCTGACCTGTGAGACAACACATTTCTGTTTTTTAAAGCCACCCAGTGTGTGGGCCTTGAAGACAGCCCTAGGAAACGAACATGCCTCCCAGCCTGCAAAAGGAAAGGGGACTGCCTCTGGCACAGACTGACGGAAGGCTGCCTGCCCCAACAGAGCATCGCCTTATCAGGGGGTAGGCTGAGGGAGCAGCCATCCCTCTGGACAAACACCCAGGGGCCCCGGGGGCGCCGCACACAGCACTTACTGGGGCCAGAGTCTAATCCCAGCTCTCCTTCCATTGAGTCGCGAGGGCCCCACGGGTACGGCTGCTCCTCCTGCTTGATCCATGACAAAATGTCATGTGCTGAGATCAGAGACTCTGTTCGTGGAAAGAAGGCAGTCTTAGCATCTGTTCATTTCTGCTGAGCATCCCATCAAAGGCTCGAAAACCATCACATGCAAAGGCTGCAGCCCCAGCTCTCGGGGCAAGTGGCGGTTTTGGTATCAGTTTCATTTACTGGCAGTCCTCCCCCCTCATGCCTTCATAAACGGGATATCACTGTGCTCACTACATTTCCCGGTGGTCAGGGAGGAGGAGGCTTGTCCCAAAGTGTGTGTGGCGGCAGAGCCAGGATTAGAACCCAGGTCTCCTGACTATGCCCACTGAGCCCCAGAACAGCCTGTAGGTCCAGGACAAGCCAGAGGGCAGCCTGGTCTCTGAAGGCCCACAGGATCGAGGGATGAGAGGTGGAACTTAAAGATCAGCGATGGGGGAAGCCGTGAGCAAAGGTCGTCATAAGAACTGCACTCTATCAGGAAGGCTTGGCTTTCCCTTCTGCCCTGGAGCCTCTCAACCTCCCCATTGTAAAGCTGTAGAGTTGGTCTTCTCTTCCTGGTATGCAGGGGTAGGGTCAAACTTTGGGGTCATAATTACCAATTGAGATGACACTGGAGTTCTCCAGGTCTGCAAGCACATGTCAACACACACACACACACACACACACACACACACACACAGGCCCAAGGCAGGTAGGGCGTCCCAATTATTATTTTATGTTTTCCTTTATGCCTAGACCCTCCCCAGAAGTTTTCCTGGGAGACATATAACTAGTATTCACTCAAGCAAAATTCCAGCAAGTGTAACTATACATTTACAGACATATACACAACGGTTATATTTGTTTAAAAATCGGTGCTGAAGTAATTTTAGTATTAGTTACATTAACACAGTAAATTGTCAATTAATGACTCCTCTAGAAAAACCCTTTCCACTTTCTAAACTCTGTACAAAGTTGCAGCCCAGCTGGAGTGGCTCAGTGGTTGAGTAACCTATGAACCAGGAGGTCACAGCTCGATTCCTGGGTCAGAGCACATGCCTGAATTGCAGCTCGATTCCCCAGTAGGGAGCATGCAGGAGGCAGATGATCGATGATTCTGTCTTTTTTTTTTTTTTTAATATATATTTTATTGATTTTTTACTGAGAGGAAGGGAGAGGACAGAGAGTTAGAAACATCAATGAGAGAGAAACATCAATCAGCTGCCTCCTGCACACCCCCCACTGGGGATGTACCCACAACCAAGGTACATGCCCCTGACTGGAATTGAACCCGGGACCCTTGAGTCCGCAGGCCAACGCCCTATCCACTGAGCCAAACCGGTCAGGGCCCATGATTCTGTCTTATCATTGATGTTTTCATCTCACTCTCACTCTGTAAAATGCTATATAATAAAAGCCTAATATGCTAAGTGGCCAGTCATCTGGTCGTCTGTTCAACTAATCAAAGCATAATATGCTAATGATATGCTAAGGCTACTCAACCACTTGCTATGATGTGCACTGACCACCAGGGGACAGACAGTCAAATGGTCAGCCAGTGGCTATGATGTGCACTGACGACTAGGGGCAGACTTCTGACTGGTAGGTTAGCTTGCTGCTGGGGTACGGCAGATTGGGACTGAGCGAGATGGGTAGGACATGCCCTGGAGCCCGCTCGCAGTCCCTCCCCGGCTGGCCAACCTCCCGTGTCCCTCCCAGGCCTCGATCGTGCACCAGTGGGGTCCCTCGGCTTGGCCTGCACCCTCTCACAATCCAGGTTGAGGAAAATCCCCTCCCCAGTGCACAAATTTTGTGCACCGGGCCTCTAGTCAATAATAACAAAAAACTCAGCAGCCTTGTCCTCCCAATATTCCAGAGCACCATGCTCACCTGAATTGGGGTCCGTTGGAATATCTCTCTCTGCCAAGTCCTGCTGATCCCACACGCACGGGTTCTCCTCCTGTTTGATCCGGGACAGGAGGTCCTGGGCAGAGGCTGGCGAGTCTGCAAGTGGGAACAGACCAGCAAAGGTGTCAGGGGACACAAAAATGCCCACAAGTCTTTGCTTTGAGTAAATCTCTTACTACATGCAGTTGTGTCTTTTTCCTACAAATTGGGTGTAACTAACGTATGATAATTAATTAGAGGTTTAAGTCAGGTTGGCCTCAAATACTGGAGCTTTTGCTGCAAATAAGTGGATTCTATTGGGGAATGATGTAACAGTGACTTCAAGAGTAAGTCCTTCTGTGCTTGGGAACTTAACTCCTTAGAGGAGATTCATGCTCAGGTACTGAGTACTATGAACTGAGTACTGAGCACCACCATAGAAGCAGCTATTCCTCATGTGGGGATTTTCCAGGAAAATCATACCTTCTCGGAAGCCTTTTATCTCAACCATTTTAGTGGGCTATTTCTAAGATGTATTCTACATCTCCTTTCTTCTTCAGAGGCCATCACACCTCATTTACCCTCCACTGCCCTCTCATCTCTGAAAGATCTCTCTGAAGATAGCAATGCTGCAGTGCCGTGGAGGACTGCATGACAAGGGCTTTTCTCCACTCAGCCTTTGTCACTTGCTTATGGATGTGAGGCTCTGACAAAGGGGATGAGGTTTGTGAGCTCCAATCTGTGGATTAAGAGAGCTGCCGTATGCTAACATATTGGGTGATGTCTCATTTTATGTCTCCCGGCCTTTCACACCACATTCTGTTGCTTGGCCTAACCTCTGAATGTTTCTTACTTATTGCTCCCAGGACCTTCTGAGAACAGGGAAGTAATAAACAATGTCCAGATATTTGGCCAAACATTCTAGAGGTTGCCGTGAAGGTATTTTTTAAAGAAGAGATTAACACTGAACTCAGTAGACTTTGAGTAAAGCAGATTACCCTCCATAATGTGGGTGGGCCTCATCCAATCAGTTGAAGGCCTTAAAGAAAATGCTGGCCTCCCCCGGGGAAGAGGAACTGTGGCCAGCGGACCAGGTCTCCAGCCTGATAGCCTACCCTGCAGATTCTGGATCTGCTAGACTCTACAGTCACAGAAGCCATGCCTTCAAATCAATCAATCAATCAATCAATCAATCTGTTCTCTTTCTCTCTACACCCACACCCCCACACACCCCAACACACACACACCCACAGCCCCCCCCACACACACCACCCCCCCAACACACACACCCCTATTGGTTCTCTGGAGAACTTCAACACACATGTGCTCTAACAGAGTTCTCACACAGAGTTCAGCTGCAATGCCATCTAAGAGGAACTCCCCAGACTACCCTACAGGACTGCAACCGAGCTGGTGCCTGGAGGCCACAGCCCATGAATTTCTGTATGAAACAGTGAACACTCTTCCTGGTCAAGAGCAGGTCTTACGGACCGACACATTCCCCCATCCACACAGCCTCATAAAGTGCTGCCCTAACCTCGCTTGTCAAAAGGAATAGTTAAAAACATATTACAAAGAACAGAGAAAACCAAACTAAGCCCAGATGTGCTGGCAAATCATCATGCTGTGTGCCCCGTCTGTGCCCCAGGGGGAAACCCTGTCTCTCCATCCATCCTGGACATACAGCTCTTCAATTTCCAGCTCAGGTAGACAATGCTGGGACCTGCAGACCCTGCTGAACCTTTCCTTTCCTCCCTGGTGTGGGCTCACTCACCGGTAATGGACTCCGTGGGGATAGCTCTTTCCTCCAGCCCCCGCTGACCCCGGACACACAGGGCTTCCTCACGCTTCACCTGAGACGCGTCTTGTGCAGGCACCAGAGGCTCCGCTCCTGGGACATAAAATCATATCATTTAGTGTCTTTTTTTCTGAATGACTGTCATCTGGATGTGCTCTTGTGGTCAGGAGCAGGGACGAGCACAGGGGGTCTCGGGATCCTGCAGGCAAGTATGGGGAACCCCAATGAGCAGAAGTTCTAGGAGCAGAGACATTCAGGGGTTAGGCCAAGCAGCGGTTCTCAACCTGTGGGTCGCGACCCTTTTGGTGGTCGAACGACCCTTTCACAGGGGTTGCCTAAGACCATCCTGCATATCAGATATTTACATGAGGAACTGTATTTAAAGGGCCAGAAGGTTGAGAACGACTGGGCCAAGCAGCAAAATGTGGTGTGAAAGGCCAGGAGAGAGTTCTAGAAACAGCCCCACGCCGGGTTGGGTGCTAATCAGGTTTAGTCTGACCTTCGTGTAGGAGGAGTTCATTGGTCCTGTTTGTCACCCGAGTCAGAAAGAGGTGGCCAAATATACACACTCATACTCCCATGCACCCTCTCACACAGGCATATAATTAGCAAGAAGTTAGACTAGGCAAAGAGCTGCAACTCAACCCCCCATAAGAATGCACAGCATGGCATCCTTACACATAACAGACAGGACAAGACCCTGACATCTGACAAGAAGGCATTTTCCTCCTGCGCTGTCCTATGGCTTGACGTACCAGCCCTGGCAGGAGACAGCTCAGGCAGCAATAAAGAGATTAGAGGAGCAATCGGAACATGTGGTCCTGGTCTGAACTCTGCCCCAGCCCAGTAGATGAATCACTTGACTTCTCTGGCTCTGCCTGCTCATCCCACCCATAAAACGGACACAGTGGTCCCTGCCCTACGGGCACACTGATGGGCCATAACTCAGTGCTGTCACTGTGAAAGGCTGCCTCGGCCGCTGACCTCAGACGGTTGTAGGTTCTAGGTACTCCAGCCTAAGCATCTTTGCCTAAGCATTTTCACTGCACAACTAACAGGCCATACGGCAGTTTCAGTCATAATAGATAAAAATAAGAAAATATAAGAGAGAGACATAAAAAGGATGCAATAAAACATGAAAATCAAAGCAAATAAAAATCCCCAAAATAAACAAACAAACAGAAACAGACTCATAGATACAGAGAACAATTTGAGAGTTGCCAGAGGGAGAATGGGTTGGAAGGATGGTTGAAAAAGGTGAAGGGATTAAGAAGTACAAGGCAGGAGAGAAACCAAGATGGCGGCATAGGTAAACACCGGAAATTGCTGCCTTGCACAACTACTTCAAAAATACAACTAAAAGACAAAACGGACATCATCCAGAACCACAGGAAAGCTAGCTGAGTGGAAATTCTACAACTAGAAGGAAAGACAAAAGCACACTGAGACTCTGAGACTCAGAGGAGGTGCGGAAGTAAAGTGCAGAGGTACAGAGGTGCATGTGGAAAGGGATGGAAACTGAGGACGCGGTTGTCTTTTTGAATCGGGAGGTAGTCTCAAGCTCCCGACTGCTCTGAACTCCAGTTCCAGGCGAGTCTCTGGGGACCCAGACTCATACGGGGAGAAACTGCACTGTCTGGCAGCGGGCAGAACTCGGAACTCGAGGGCGGCTTTCTCTCAGAGGAGCTTGCAGCGATTACCGGGACACTGAGACCTGGGGCCTCTTAGGGTAGGACTAAGGATCAGCCATAGTTGTTTGCTCCGCCCTGTTGATTCCCTGAGACCCCGCCACACCCAAGCTGTGCACAGAGGCTTTTGCATATGAATGCCCTGGCCCTTTGCAACCTGAAAATTACCTAACAACCTGCAGCTGGGTCAAAGAGGCCCAGAACTTCCAAAAGAAGGCCCAAGGCCCACAGCAGCTTGCATTGCTTCACAGCTGGGCCTTATCTGGGCACCTCCAAAACCCAAACAAAGAAGAGGAATCTGCAGATCTCTCCGTAGCTCCTGCTGGGTAGCCTCAGGCAGAGGCTAAATTAGCACCTCCTTAGAGATTCAAGAGCCAGTGTACCCAGTGGTCAGAAGGGGACCATCCAGATTACAACTCCTCAGATCCATAAGAGACACACTCAGGGGGCAGACTCAGTGAGCACCAAAGCCCCACTGAAGCAAGTCTTGCCCCAGAAGGGTGTTTCCAGCACAGAAGTTCTCCCACAGTAGACACAGCTGATTCTCACAGCCAATTGGCCTGGAGGTCAATTCCTCTCAGTGATAACTACAACAATCAAGGCTTAACTACAACAAGACTGTGCACAAAGCCCACAAAGGGGTGCACCAAGAGTGTCCACCTCAGGTAACTGGGGAGGCTGAGCCACTGGGCCCTATAGGACACCTAGCACACAAAGCCACTCTATCAACACAGGGAAGCACAAAAAATGCGGAGACTAAAAAACAGGACACAAATGACAGAAACGGAGGAAAGCAAACTACGGGATATGGAGTTCAAAACCACACTTTTAAGGTTTTTCAAGAATTTTCTAGAAACCGCCGATAAATGTAGTGAGACCCTCAAGAAATCTAGGGAGACCGCCGATCAATTTAGTGAGACCCTCAAGAAATCTAGGGAGACCCTCGAGGTTATGAAAAAGGACCAAATGGAAATTAAGCATACACTGACTGAAATAAAGGATATTATACAGAGTTCCAACAGCAGACAAGAGGATCGCAGGAATCAAGCCAAAGATTTGAAATCCGAAGAAGCAAAAATCACCCAACCGGAAAAACAAAAAGAAAAAAGAATCCAAAAATATGAAGATAGTGTAAGGAGCCTCTGGGACAACTTCAAGTGTACCAAAATCCGAATTATGGGGGTGCCAGAAGAAGAGAGAGAGTGAGATATTGAAAACCTATTTGAAGAAATGATGACAGAAAACTTCCCCTACCTGGTGAAAGAAATAGACTTACAAGTCTAGGAAGCAAAGAGAACCCCAAACAAAAGGAATCCAAAGAGGACCACACCAAGACACATCATAATTAAAATGCCAAGAGCAAAAGACAAAGAGAGAATCTTAAAAGAAGCAAGAGAAAGACATTCAGTTACCTACAAGGGAGTACCCATATGACTGTCAGCTAATTTCTCAACAGAAACTATGCAGACCAGAAGGGAGTGGCAAGAAATATTCAAAGTGATGAATAGCAAGAACCTACAACCAAGATTACTTTACCCAGCAAAGCTATCATTCAGAATTGAAGGTCAGATAAAGAGCTTCACAGATAAGAAAAAGCTGAAGGAGTTCATCACCACCAAACCAGTATTATATGAAATGCTGAAAGGTACCATTTAAGACGGGGTCATCAAACTTTTTAAACAGGGGGCCAGTTCACTGTCCTTCAGACCGTTGGAGGGCCGGACTATAGTTTAAAAAAAAAAAACTATGAACAAATTCCTATGCACACTGCACATATCTTATTTTGAAGTAAAAAAACAAAATGGGAACAAATACAATATTTGTATTTGCATGTGGCCCATGGGCCGTAGTTTGAGGACCCCTGCTTTAAGAAGAGGAAGAAGAAAAAGGTAAAGATAAAAATTATGAACAATAAATACACTTCTATCAACAAGTGAATCTAAAAATTAAGTGAATAAATAATCTGATGAACATAATAAACTGGAATATAATAGAATCAGGGGCATAGAAAGGGAATGGACTGACTATTCTCAGTGGGGGAAAGGGGTGTGGGGGGTGCAGGAAGAGACTGGACAAAAATCATACACCTATGGATGAGGACAGTGGGAGGGGGGGTAAGGGCAGAGGGTGGGGTGGGAACCGGGTGGAAGGGAGCTATGGGGGGAAAAAAAGAGGAACAACTATAATAATCTGAACAATAAAGATTTAATTTAAGACAAAAAAAAAAAGAAAGTAAAAAAAAAGGAGTATAAGGCAGTACTTACAAAACAGTCGTGGGATTTAAAATACAACATAGGGAATCTACACTAATAAAAGACAAACATGCAAATTGACCATACTTTTGCTATGCCTTAAGCCACACCCACCAGCCAATCAGAGAGGCTATAGGCAAATTAACCCAACCAAGATGGTGGTTAATTTGCATATACCTGCTGGGATGGAAGACTGAAGACAACGTGGAAGCAAAGCGCTACAGAAGAGAGCAAAGTAGAGGCGGCGGAGACAGGAACAGAGCCAACGCTGCAGAGGCAGGAGGCGGGAGGGGAAACCCAGCAGGAGCGGCTGGGAGCAGGAGGGGAAGCCCAGCCGCGGGAGGGGAAACTCACCACAGCGGCTGGGAGCGGGAGGGGAAACCCACCACAGCGGCTGGGAGCGGGAGGGGAAACCCAGCCGCAGGAGGGGAAACCCAGCCACAGCGGCTGGGAGCAGGAGGGGAAACCCAGCCACAGCGGCTGGGAGCGGGAGGGGAAACCCAGCCACAGCGGCTGGGAGCGGGAGGGGAAACCCACCACAGCGGCTGGGAGCGGGAGGGGAAACCCAGCCACAGCGGCTGGGAGCGGGAGGGGAAACCCACCACAGCGGCTGGGAGCGGGAGGGGAAACCCAGCCACAGCGGCTGGGAGCGGGAGGGGAAACCCAGCCACAGCGGCGGGGAGCGGGAGGGGAACCCCACCCCAGCGGCTGGGACCGGGAGGGGAAACCCAGCCACAGCGGCTGGGAGCGGGAGGGGAAACCCACCACAGCGGCTGGGAGCGGGAGGGGAAACCCACCACAGCGGCTGGGAGCGGGAGGGGGAACCCAGCCACAGCGGCTGGGAGCGGGAGGGGAAACCCAGCTACAGCGGCTGGGAGCGGGAGGGGAAACCCAGCGGCATCGGCTGGGAGCGGGAGGGGAAACCCAGCGGCAGTGGCTGGGAGTGGGAGGGGAAACCCAGCGGCAGCGGCTGGGAGCGGGAGGGGAAACCCAGCCGCAGGAGGGGAAACCCACCACAGCGGCTGGGAGCGGGAGGGGAAACCCAGCGGCAGCGGCTGGGAGTGGGAGCGAAGCCACCTCAGCGGGTTTCACTCCCTTCCCTGCTTCGCTCCAGCCGCAGGAAGCCCTATTCTTGGAGGAATCTTCCTGCAATGGGCCTGTAGTATAGTCAATAATATTCTAGCCCTGGCCAGTGTAGCTCAGCAGAGCATCGGCCTGCACCACTAAGGATTACAGGTTTGATTCCGTGTCAAAGGCACATTCCTAGATTGCAGGTTCAATCCCTGCCCTGGTTGGGGCTCGTGTGGGAGGCAACAGATAGATGTACATCTCTCCCTCTCCCTCTCTCCACCCTCCACACACACACCCCCGGCCCCGCCTTCTTCCCTCTGACCCACTCTCTCTAAAAAGCAATGGAAAAAATATCCTCGGGTGAGGATTAAAAAAATAAAAATAAAATTCTAATAATTATGTATGGTGTCATGTGGGTACGAGGTTTGTCGGCATGATCACTTAGTAAGTTACATGATGTCTAATTACTGAGGTGTACACGTGAAACTAATATAATATTGTATGTTAACTATAATTGAAAATAAAAAATGCTTTAAGAAGAAGGAAAAACTCTCTGGTAAACACTGAAAAATTTTCAATATATATATAAATAATAATTCAATACAAGAGCTATGGAATCATAAAAATTGACCAGTTAACCCAAAAGAAGGCAAAAAATGTAGAAAAAAATAAATGAAGAGGCCCTGGCCTAGGGTAGTTCAGTTGGTGAGCGCATCACCCTGACCCACCAAGGTTGCGGGTTCAATCCCCAGTCAGGGCACATACAAGAATCAATCAATGAATGCGTAAATAAGTGAAATGTAAATGAATATTTCTTTCTCTTCCTCCTCACCCCCCCCCCAAAAAAAAGATTTAATAACACGAACACTGTGAGAACCTTGTCAATGCAGATGAAACCAAACTGACAATCAGCTTAAATACGTGAAGCCTGTCAAACATAAACCAAAATGTCAGCCAGTTATTTGATCTTTTGTGGTGAAATTGCCTATGGCCAATTGTGTGGCAAAACATATGTGGCAAAGATGCTTACAATAAAAATGCCAAACACAGGCACGGACAGGTGAGCTATATGCTAAGGCAGAGAATGCAGTTAGAGCACAGATTTCACCGGGTCCAACATGGCTTAGGAGAGCGGCAGCCCCGAGAAGGGACCTGCAGGGCACAGTGGGGCGGGAAGCCTAGCACCTCCCACCCCAGTGAAAGCTGACCAGGGGTGATGCTGCAGGAGCGGGGTTTCCTTCTTGAGTGAGGAAACAGCCTTAGGGGTAAGAAGTCTGCCTGTGATGTGGGGGTCGTGTGAGAATGGATGACGATACTGGAGATGACACATGGGCAAGAAGCAGCAGGCCCCCAGCAAAACTGCACGTCCATGCACACTCCCTTTCCGCCCTCCCATGGGGCTGCCCCCAGGTCTCAGGCCTCTCACTGCAGGTCACGGTCAGGCCTGGGATGCTGCAAGCCTGCCTGGTCCCCTTCTCTCTCCCCAGCTTGCCAGGGCGTCCAGAGCTGCACGGCTCTATCCCAGCACCCTGGTGGGCTTTCAGGCCCTGAAATCTCTTCCTGTGAGTGGCCACCGAATTTCAACGGTGGCAGAACTGGCCCCACAAACAACGCAAAAGAAGCCCCTGCTGCCCGGCCGGTTTAGTTCAGTGGCTGAGCGTGGACCCAGGCATCCAGAGATCACCAGCTCATTCCTGGTCAGGGCACGTACCTGGGTTGTGGGCTCAATCCCCAGTAGGGGGTGTGCAGGAGGCAGCCAATTGACGTGCTTCTCTCTGATTGATGTTTCTCTCTTTCTCCCCCTCTCTCTAAAAATAAATTTTAAAAAAGAAGCCCCTGTTGAACTGAGGCAATGCGGGGGTGGGGGGGGTCAGGGTCGGGGCAGGGCTTTTCTCCTGCCCTATCCTGGACCTGGGGTTTCTTTTTTAGCTGCCATCACCTGTGTCAGGATCCATCAGGATTTCTCTCTCTTCTGGGTTACGCTGCTCCCACACGCAAGGCTCTTCCCTGGGCTCAGCTTGGGATGGGGCCTCTGGCTTGGGCCCAGGACCGTCTGCGTCTGGAATGAGTTGGAAGGAAGGAAGGACTGAGTGAAGCTGAGCAAGGGGTTATGATCTAGGGCGTTGGCAGAACTCTCCCCTCCCCCCTGCTGAGTGCCCCTCTTGGTGGTAGCCGTTATGTGAGCACGTCAGGTAATCAATCTCTTAGGAGGAACCTGAAAACGAGTCCATAGATACCCCAATTTCTGGTGTGGAAATAGCTAGTCTCGGAAAGCCAACAGCAGGCCAACTGTGGCTTATCCAGGCTGCTGGGACGTAGCCCTTCCAACCGTATTCCAAAAGAGTGATGGCATTCGATTCTATAATCAGCCCTGTTCCTGGATTTTTCATTCTCATCTGATTAGGAACCATTCTATCTCCTGTGCATTATAGAAACAGCCTGGCCAGGTAGTGTGAACGTGGGCTGAAAGCACGCCATGCCCCTCGGTAGGACCGCGGCCACGCAGGCGGGAGGGGTGCTCACCCAGGGACATGAGGGTTTTGTAGTTCTCCTTCACAAGGTTGTTGTAAAGCTCCTTCTGCCATCCATCCAAGTTCTTCCACTCGTCCTCAGAGAAGTACACAGCAATGTCGACAAAAGTCACCGGAACCTGGGCCAACAAGAGTTTTAGTCCGCACCTCCCCTTCCCTCCCTTTCTCAGACCTTGGGGCCCATGTGACCGTGGAGCCCGGCCTTTGCTCTCCAGGGCTCCTCGTCCTCCTAACCCAGCCCGCTCCACTTCAATGGGATCAGTCCATTCTGTTCCTACCTTTGCTTCCAGAACAATGATGGTCAACACTGCCTTCTTTTTTTTTTTTTTTTACGCATTTACCATACCCTCTGTAATTTCACTTTTAAGTTACTGGGTTCATGAAGGCAGAGCTGGAGGAGTCATTGTGCTGCTTTTGGCGCTCAGGGAGACGGGGTGTGGTCAGTTCTGAGTGGGTATCGGTGAGCCAAACACAGTAAAACCCTGTTATAAAACCTGTATTTCTGGTCAGGTCACCTCTGGGCACACAGTGACATTTTTGGTCACTACCCATGTAATAGCTAAAGGCATGCGAGGAAGCCCGGGATCGCCACCTGCTTTGTTCACAGCTATGTCCCAAGCTAGAAGCACAAAGTTTGAAATCAAGACATTTGCTGAATGTGCTGAATTGCGGTTGCCAATATCAGGAAGTTCCACTGTAGCCTGAGTCACCCACCATCTACTGTCAGTCCCTCGTTATCCCAGGCAGTCTAATCTGTTATCTAAGCTGTTATTTCAGTTTGACAAGGATACTTGTCTGTCACTCACCAGCATGGCCTCACCTGGGACTGAATCGTTCAAAATGGTTTCACTTCCATGATTTTAATAACAGAACTTCCCTTCTCTGACCACAGAGCCTTACCTCCCACCACTTTCACATCCCTAATGGACCAGCCTTTCACCCTCTCTCTGAAATCCAACCCCTCAGGTCTCCCCCAGGCTCTAAGCCTAGTCCACCAGTCTCCTACCTGCACATACAGAGCCACCTGTGTGCAAATGAGAGACAGCCCTCAGGTTTCCGCTCACTGGTGCACAGTGTGGTCGGTGGGCAATGTCCTCCCATTAATTAGGAATGCCAGCCCGTGCACCAGTGCTCACAGCCCTAAGGGCCTCCTGCACAGGCACAATGCACACACCTACATGCTGATCACAGCTCACCAGCCATCTTGAGAAACAGACTCCCTGGACCCTCAAGAGACTTGGGTGAGTCCCCAATTTGGAACAGCCAATGCAGACCACTTTCTTCATTTTGCTTCCCTGCTGCTGATAAAAATCACAACATTCTGCGGTGACGCCCAGTGCATTCATATCCCTTGCCTCAGGCTGCTCCCTGAGAGGCTTCTTTCAAACTCTACCCCACGTTCCCCAGTCTCTCCTTGATCTCGGGGAGCTGTTGGCAAGCTCCCTTTTCCTTGCCCTTCTCTTTCTTGCCAAGCCAAACCCCTCCTCATGTGCCCTTCATTTCTCCTCTCCCTCCTGCCTGGGAAACCTAACCCAAATGGCCATGCAGTCCCCCCTCCACTGGCTCTCCCTCCAGGGTCATCCAACCCAAGAAGAACCCCACTCAACTCTGCTACCGCAACCAACTCTACATTCTCCTTTCACTTGAAACATCCAAGACACACTCTGTGCTTTCTTCTTCACAACTCACACATCCTTGAACCTCTTAATGTGTCTCTACTAACCCCCACTCTCTGGACCCCACCCTGGGGGCCATCGGTGGTCTCCTGCTGTTAGCCTGCACCCTTTTAAAGGTCCCACCACCTTGGTGGAATTTTTCTCCTGTTTGGTTTCCACAACGATGCTGCCTCCTGCCCTCGTGGCTCATGTCTTCTTTACAGCTTCCTTTTTCTCCCCCAAGACCCAAGGTCCTGCCCTTGCCCTTCCCTGTTTCTTCACTCTTCCCTTGGCAATTTCATTCTTTTCACAACTTCAACGGTTACCTCTTTGTAGAGGACACCCTTCAATTTTCGTTGCTCCCTTCATACTTCACATTTCGACAGTCTTCTGAGTGGCTCCATTTAATCATCTTTTAAATACCTCAAACTAAACGTATCCAAAATCAAGTTCATTATTTTTTTGACATCCCATCTCCTCTGTCTCACTTCACCATTTCTGTGGACTGTCAACATCCTAGAACCATATTCTCACAGCTGGAAATTCTCACAGTCACTTTTGAAAACTTCACTATGTCAGGATACATCAGAAGTCTGAGACATGGCCCGAGCCTACAGTCTAGCTCAGGGGTGGGCAAACTTTTTGACTCGAGGGCCACAATGGGTTCTTAAACTGGACCAGAGGGCTGGAACAAAAGCATGGATGGAGTGTTTGTGTGAACTAATATAAATTCAAAGTAAACATCATTACATAAAAGGGTACGGTTTTTTTTTTTTTTTTAGTTTTATTCATTTCAAACGGGCCGGATCCGGCCCGCGGGCCGTAGTTTGCCCACGGCTGAGCTAGATAGATAAAAAGTACCCACAAATTATCTGCAAACCAATGAACAGACACAACAGAATCTAAGAGGCATAAAGGATCTGTGAGCCAACAGCCTTCCTTGAATCTGACAAACAGGATGCATCCAGCACAGCCAGGAGTCCACAATGAATTACAATAATTGCTAGCAATATGAACTTATATTCTCATAGTGCTTTATGGTTGTGGGGGTTTCAAATATGTCCATATATTTTTTGACAGTCCCTTAAAAAAAGCAGAGTCTACTTCTCTCCCCCTTGAGTGTGGGCAGGATTTAGTGACTGTCTTCTAAGAAATAAATGAAAAAGTGATAGCGTATGATTTCCGAGACTAGGTCATAAGAGACACTGCAGCTTCCATTCTAGTCTCTCTCTTGACTCACTCACCCTGAGTGAAGTCAGCTGCCATGTCAGGAGGATGCCCAAGCAGCTCTGTGGGGAAGCCCAGAAGGGGAGGAACTCAGGCTTCCTGTCAACAGCCAAATGAGTGAGTGATATTGGAGGCAGACCCTCCCACCTCAGTCAGGCCTTCAGTCAATAGCTTCATGAGACTCTGAGCCAGAACCACTCAGCTAAGCTGTTCCTGGATTCCTAACCCACAAAAGGGGCAAGATTTTTTAGGCTGCTACATTTGGGGGTAACTTTTCACACAGCAATAGATAACTAATACATAGTGTTGTCCCATCAGCAACACCAACAAATCCTCACAACTCCATGCACTAAGCATGTTATCACCTTCGTTTTCCAGAAGAGAGCACAAGCTCAGAGAGACCAGCTGGAAATTTCCCAGACTAGTATTCATTTAAACTTCACTTCTTTCAAAGGAAGGATCGAAGATGCTCAGCGATAGCAAAACACCTACCTGACCAATGGTAAGGAAACCAGTACATATGAAGCTGAGATCCAAACCCTAGTCCTCTGATTGCAGACCCCACACCATTCCATCATTCTGTGATGGCACACGTCAACTCCGGGGTCCTAATACTGATCCAACGCACAGAACACACCACAAAGCCACATAAGGACAGAGCACCGAGGTCAACCATAAAGCACTGTGAGAGGTGCTGGTTGTGCTGGACAGGCACTGTAAAAGCCATACTGAAAACCAGTTTTGTGGACTGCGGTGGCAGGGACGGCTTTAGGGAGGAACCAGGCCACTACTCCAACTAGGTTCTATGAGGGCTCAGTTAACCTGTGTCTAGCAGCTCCTCTGGCGAAATCACTGGGCGTTGCCTCTGCAGATACAGACATAGAAGACCCGGTCCCGTACATGGGAGTGTGAGCTCTCCGGCTGGAGTCACTCAGTAAGAATTTTTTTGCATACCGACCAACTAGGCACAGAGACACAACAGTGAAACAAGCAGACCTGACATTGTGGTCAGAGAGAACCGACCAAGAAGATAAAAACAGGAGTCAATATTTAAGAAGCCTGGTGGCGTAAGTGCTCGGAGAACATGAGAGCAGGCACAGAGAAAAGAGCGTGCTGGGGTTGGGGAGGCATGGCTCCCTGGGGCCACAGAAGGGCACAATGATCCAGTGACGACTGAGCAGACCTTGGCGGAAGTGACAGGGAGGGAAGGAACTTTTCAGTGGAGGGAAGTCCCTCAGGGGGATGGACAGTGTGATGGCAGAATGGTAAACGGCCACTGTGCCAGGAAGGAGTGGGCAAAGGGGTGGAGTGGAGATAAGGTCAGAAAGGTGGTCAGAGAGAGACAGCCATTGGCAAACCAGAGGCTTAACGCTGAATCAGACGGGAAGCCAGGTGAGGGTCTTAAGCAGAGGGGTAATATGACTGCCTGATATTTGAAAAGGACCACTCTGGCTGCTCTGCTGAGGGCAGGTCATGTGGGCTGGGGGACAAGGACAGAGACAAGGAGCGCAGGCACGCGGCCATGGCAAAAACCAGATGAGAGATGAGGGTGGTGGGAGTGGTGGAGGTTGCAGGAATGGTCAGACTATGGATGTTATTTTGAAGAAAAATCAGATGGTATTTACTAAATACTGGAAGTTGGTGTGAGAAAGAGGAAGGAGTGTGACCCCAACGCTTCTGTCTTGAGCAAGTGGAAGGATGTAGTTGTCTTCCCCAGAGATGAGGACAACTTTGGGCAGAATAGGTGTCAGGCAGAGCGCATCAGCTCAGGTAGGTCATGTTAAACCTAAGATATTTACCGACACCCCCAGGGAGATGCTGAATGTGAATCGCATTCAAGGAAGTGTGGGCAAGGTAAAGAGCAGGAAGAAATGACAATGTTCGGGAGCTGACAGCACACAGATTGGGTTTAAAACCCTGAAACTGGATGAAATCGTGAGGGAGGGAGTGTAGAAAATGAGCTGAAGGTCAGACAGAACCCTGCCCACTCCAAACATAAGAAGTCAGGAAAGGAGGTGAAACCAGGGAGGAAGAGAGGAGCAACTAGTGAGGTGGGAAAAGAACCCCGAGATGTGGCCTGGAAGCCACAGGAAAGGTGTCTCAGGGAGGGAGAGGTCACCTCCAGGAGATGCTGCGACGGGCCAGGAGGAGGAAGGCTGAGAACCGGCCACTGGCTTTAACACTAAGAAGGGCATGAGGGCTCTGGCAAGACCAGGAGGATGGAAAGGTGGTAGCAGAGCCTGATGGGGTGGGTGCCAGGGAGCATGATCCAATGAACACATTAAATGAGACCACGGAGGATGCAGCAGCAGAATCCAGTGAGAAACTTGACAGGATGGATGGCCCAGTTTCTTCCACAGAGAAATTGCAAGAAAAAGTGAAGGAGATGGAAGAGGAACCTACAGATTCAAAAAAGACTTAGGAGACAAAGCAATCACAATGAACAGACCAACAAACAAATGGGGGGTGGGGGGATTACAACATTTTTTAAAGAACCGGAAACGTGAACACCAATTGGATATTTGAGGAGGTTGAAGCGTTTGCTGTGGTGGTAATAATATTGAGATTATTCATTTTTAAAAGGAGTCTTTACCTTTTAGAGCTACATAGAGAAATATTTATAAACACAATAATTAATGTCTGAGATTTGCTTCAAAATAAAATGGGAGAAGGCGATGGGTAGGGATTTAGATGAAACAGGATTGGCCAAGAGTTGATCATTATTGAAACTGGATGATGGGTTTGCGAGGTTTCATTATACTCTTCTAGCGACTTAATTTTCTACAATACAAAGGTTAAAAAGGGAGGGAAAGAAAGTGGAAAAGCAAGAACTGGAGACATACAGACCAGTTGAAGGAATTCTGCTCTACAGCAGAGCTGAGAATCTAGGCACTAACTGGAGGGAAATTCAGGGGCCAGGGGGATTTTCGATTGCACAGCTGGCCAGTCCCAGAAGAACAGGGGGACATGCTGGAGTGACTTCCTGGAGTAAGTGACAGGGGACAGGGAGCCCATGGGAACAGAACAGGCAGAGTGCACAAGGCGGACGGACGGATGAATGCCATGGCTGCACGTGGACGTCACCTGTGAGTGACTCCAGTTTTTCAGTGGACTAGAAACCAGGGCCATGGACAGAAAGTGAGGTGTTGATGAGCCAGGGGAACACGATTGGAATGGGAACCGGAGCATGAATTCTCTGCGAATGGAATAGGAACTGTGAGAGGGGACACCGGAGGGTAATGGTTATGACTTTCAAGGGATTCCAATCAGCATGGTTTGGGTCTGTCTCCAGCATACACAAAGATAACCAAGGACAATTGGTCACTCGGTGCCAAGTGGAAAACCCAAGCATGAAAGCTTCAGGAATTTGCAGACACCTAGACATCTCAGGGAGGGGAAAGGTCAAGGACAGAAGCATGCAGACTCTGTGGGGACTGGGAGGAGGCTACCTCCTGGAGGGAGAACGTTCCACCACATACCTTGGGGACCTCCCCCTTGCTGCCGGGGGGCAGCCGCAGGACCCAGAAGTTCCTGTTCCTCAGCAGGTTCTCCATGTTCTCCAGCCGCCTCTGCAGCAGCCCGTACTCCTGCAGCAGGGTCCCCAGCACGGCCCACTTGCTCTCCATGTGGTTCCCGAACTCCACGGCCGTCTTCTCACAGTCGGCCAGTTTCTTCTCGGCTGTCCCCGTCCGTCCCTCCAGATTTAGCAGCTGGCTGGCCTGGGCATCCACCTTCCTCTCCACTGCTTGAATGGCGGCCACCACGGTCCAGAGGGAGATCTCGGCCGTGGGCAACTGGGGCTCTCTCATCACACGGTCAGGGAAGACGGGTGCCCTGTCTGGGAAGGGCGGGAACTGAAAAGGCATAGGTCGCCGGGCATCCATGTCCCATTCTTGAGCCTGGGTGTAGAGGGAGAAAATGACAACCTGGGATGAGACCCTGTGTGGCGGGGGAGAGTGGCCTAAGAGCCCAACGAATCAAATGCCACAGATTCCCATTCCTCTGCCAAGCCCCTGCCTCTCAGGCTATGGTGTGCATGAATATCCCCAGCAACAGCTCGAGCAGCCACCCACCCAACCTTCCCATTTCCAACCAGTCAATCCGGTCACTAGTTCACCCATTTTGAGCTTTGGCCTAAAATGTCACATATGACTTTCTTTGAACAGAACAGCTACTTTCCTCAAGGGCTAGACTTAATGAAGAACTCTTTTCTTTATTTTATTAATTTCAGAGAGGAAGGGAGAGGGAGAGAGAGACAGAAACCTCAATAATGAGAGAAAATTACGTATTTGTTGCCTGCCTCCTGCACGCTCCCCACTGGGGATCGAGCCGGCAACCCGGGCATGTGCCCTGACCAGGAATAGAACCGTGACCTTCTGGTTCATAGGTTGCCACTCAATCACTGAGCCACACCAGCCAGGCATGATGCACTGTTTAGGATGGCCTCATGTTTTCTGTTTCAAGGTGAGAATTTTCATGTAAGTCAGTGGTTCTCAACCTTGGCTGCACATTAGAATCACCTGGGAATCTTTTTAAAATCCCGATTTCTGGGCCTCATCCTCCGGAAATTCTGTTTCTTTGTTATGGGGTGGGGCCACAACATTAGTAACAAAGAAACAGAATTTCCGGAGGATGAGGCCCAGAAATCAGGATTTTAAAAAGATTCCCAGGTGATTCTAATGTGCAGCCAAGGTTGAGAACCACTGATGTAAGTCATCTGACTCTAACCTTCCCAGCAAACTCTAAGCAGGTTAGGGCCACTAATGATGATCTCTGCTTTGAAGACAGGCAGCCGGTCCTTCTACAGCACCTGGTTTCATCGCCACCTGGAGCGAGCGACTCTAAGTGCGGCTGCAGGTAATGAAACACAGTTCAGGTCAGTGGTGCTGACACCTTCCCAGCAGAGTCGCACCAGGGGGGACACCAAGCAGCCCAAGCGAGAGAGCAGACGAGCAGCCTTTTTTCCATATATAACTATTGGTTCAGCTTCCTTCCAAAATGAGAACAGGTTTGCCAAAAAAATGTCACTCTCTGAGGAGGGGAGGAGGAGACATCCCTAAGAGGAAGAGAAGACCTCTCAGCCCCCTCCCTGCCTCCTGGGGAGGGGTACCCCATGGGTGCAGGTTGAGAGCTGAATGAATCCTATGACCAAGTGAGGTTGGTGACCATTCACAGGTGACCTGGGAACTGGCCCCACACTGGACCAGCACCCAGCAGTTACTGGGCAACAGTGGGTCTAATAGCGGCCTCTCCTTGCCACCAGGGACAGGAAGAGGTATCATTTTCTGTTCTTGCTGCTGCTGCTGCTGCTGAAGTGGCCTCAGGCTGGGCAAAGTGGAGACCTGTTGCTTAGAGGTGACCTGGGCAGGCCTGGGGCAGGCATGCCAACTGCCCTCTCTAACTTGGAGCAGCTGTGACGGCCACAGAGGAACATCCCACAGCTTCCGGGAAATCACTGACACAGGAGGAAGGGGACCAGGCCTCTGGGCCCCAGACCCTGCTAAGAGACAGTGGTATTTCCATCCAAGCTCTGCACACGGGCTCATTTAGGCTTCCTTCCTGCCTGGCCCACAGAAGGCAACAAGGGCTAACCGTGGAAGTCGGGGAAGTCACCAGGCCCAGCTAACTTTTCTGCGGTTTGGAGACCTAAAACTGAAGAATGATCAGACACAGCACCCGGCTGACCGGTCAGAGCCCGCTGAGAGAACCAGGCCATCAGCTGGGGGGCTCTGGGCCCCCCAGGCCTGCTCCCAGGCTCTCCCGCAGGCCTCTGGCCCGTGCACACAATCCCGGCGCACTGGCTCCCAGACTCGCCCGCATGCTGAGGTCCCCGCGGGGCTTTCGGAAATGAAGGGCGCCTGCTCGCCACCCCACGGACGCGATTTAACTGGTCTGGGATGAGGCCTGGGCGGCAGGAGTCTGAGAGTTGCTCAGGTGATTAGAATATGCAGCCAAGTTTGCCAACCGCAGGAGGGAAGGCAAAGTCACCTCTCCATGGCCCCGTCACGCCCGGTGCAGGGAAAAGTGAATGACTCGTTACACTTGGTGGAAGACGGTCATAGGTTTAAAACAGCTTTTCGTCCCAGTGGCTACAGTGTAACCCTGCGGAGGCGGCCCAGGCGCTACCAGCAAACCCTCCGGCCCCCGCAGAGGTGAGCCGGGCCGGGTGCGGGTCCCCGGACCACGCGCTCCGGGCCCTTGGGCCCCGCGGAGCCTCCTCCCGGCGCCGGCACTGGGCCCGGCGGCACGCGGCCTCGGGGGCCTGCGGCTCTGCGGCGCGGCCCCGGCCGGCCAGGGTACCGGGATCGGGGCCGGGCCTGCCTCGGGGCCCGCCCGCCACCGGAGCCCGCCCGTGCCCGACCCGCCCGGGGCCCCGCTTCCGCGCCCGGGCCCCCCGGTGCTCGCAGCCCCGCCCCCACGGCCAGGCGGCGCGGCCATGGCGTTGGGCTGGGGCTGCACCCACCTGCATGGGCGGCATTCCCTCGGCCATTTCCCCGCGCAGCGCCGGATCCTGGTGGCAGACCTCCTCCGGGGGCAGAGCCTGGGCCCAGCTCCAGCTCCCGCTGTCCAGCCCCAGGCCCTGAATGCCCAGCTGCTGAGGCTGTGGCCGTGTTGACACAAACTGCATCCTGGGAGTGCTGTTCCCCGCTCGGGCCGGCCAGGGAGAAGAAGAACGTTCTGCAGGCGCCTTCCCCCTCGCCGGGGCCGGACAGCTCCATCTACAGCCCGTAGGAGCAAACAGTCCCCTTTGGCGGCGCTCCCCGCCCCGCCCAGCCAGCGCGCCAGCCAATGGCTTCCGAGTCCCTGCCGGCCTGAGGGACTGACGGGCCACGGCCCCCCCAAAGCGGCCCCTGGGCGGCTATGCTCCTCAGTGCCCTTCAGTCTGGGGTGGCCTGCGCTAACGTCCCAAACAATGCAGGGCACTGAGTTCTGCTAATTCTGCAGATGTACTGGGCATCCCAAGGGAAATGGTGAATGACCCTTTGGGGAATTTTGCAAGAATAATTGTGTCTCCAGACTCTTCCTTTGGCCTTTCTCCCTTCCCTCTCTCCTTTGCAGGCTTCATCTCCCCACTCTCCCTCTTCCCAATCCAAATTTACCTGGACCAATTCCAGGCCTTTGCACTGGTATGGATGATGGAGAAGTGATCGGGCTAATGTGTCAGAGGAGGGCTGAACTCTTCCTACCAGGAAAGGTGCACTGCGTTTTAATAGCAGCCTCTTCCAAAATCTTTAAATGCAGGTCAAAGTTACTTTGATCAACCAAAGGACTTATATGCAAGCATATAGGCCTAACCAATGGACACAGACAACAGGGGGGTGAGGGCATGAGGGGGGGGGGAGGGGATAACGTGGGGATAAGGACACATATGTAATATCTTAATCAATAAAAAATATATTTAAAAAAATGCAGGTCAAAGTTACTTTGATACTTCAGGCCAAGGAAGAAGAGGAACCAAGGCGAGGCCAGGGTAGACGAACGGAGAAGATAGGGGGAAGGGAGAAAATTCATTAATTCCTTCCACAAATATTGCCAGGTGCTGCTTAGACAGAGGTTGGACTTTGAGGTTGGATACACCTGAGTTTAAATTCCAAAATCACCAATCACTAGCTTTGACTGTTAACAAGTTATTTAACTTCTGAGCTTCACTTTGTCTCTTCATACAGTGGGGCCTTGACTTACGAGTGTCCCGACTAACGAGTTTTTCGAGATACGAGCCGTCTCTCGGCCGATTTTTTGCTTTGAGTTGCGAGCTAAAATTCGGGCTATGAGCCAGCTTCAGATACCCCACCGCTAGTTGGCGCAGCGAACGTCACAGTGAACGCCACAACATCAGCCCAGCATCACGTGTCTCACTCGTTCACTTTTTGATTTGACATACGAGTAATTTGAGTAACGAGCTCCGTCACAGAACTAATTAAACTCATAAGTCAAGGCCCACTGTATATAAATACATGAAAAACTAATGCCAACTCACCAACTGTAGAATCAAATGAGATGAGAACAGGGCGTAGCACACAGTAGCTTCGGAAGCCGGCGGATCCGCAAGTGCATGGGTGGTACTTTGTGTTTAAGTCAGATTATTATGGGGAAAAATTTGATAAGGTAAAATTATAAAGAAATTAGAATATTAAAAGGGACTCGTTTAAATCAGGCTGAAAAAAGAGTGCTATGGTCATCTTTAATGTGGTTTCTTGTTCAAATTAAAATCTTAATTCGTATTTGGAATCTAAAATCTGTAGTAAGAAATGAAACTCCGCTGCCGAATCCGCCTCTGGTGCAGAGAGATTCAAAGGTGGCAGGAGAGGGCAGAGCTATAAGCTCTCCCACAATGAGATTACTTAATGTTTTGTTTAAAAATTACCAGAGAACATCTTATGATAACCAAATTTTGGCTAAGATAACCTTGGGTGATAGCTACTATTTTGGAAAGTGAAATAGGAAAAAATTTAAAATATGTCTTTTTCTATTAAGCATGACTTTGGGAAAAAATACACCATCTGAGTCATTTGCTGAAACTTCCCCAAAAGCAGGATGTGGGGGAAGAGAAGAAGGGAGCACATGGCGATCCAATATGGATGCCCCGTCCCCAAGTATTCTAATTTAAAGTCTCCTTCTCGTAATTGAAAAGTTTTACAAAATTTAGAAATGCGTCTGGGATTTCTGTGAAAAATAGATAATTAAAAAATCTAAGTAGCCCTTTGTTAATTAAAAAAGCCAGCTATGCCTTTCTAATAGAGAAAGGGGCTAGTGTCGCTTCCTGCCTGTAGCAAAATCTTAAAAAAAGAATGTGATCAATTTACATCTGAAAAGACCAGGTAGGCCAAAACCTGCTTTGCAAGGCTCAAATGTGGTTTTCCAGAGCTGCTAGAAACTAAAAAGTAAAGTTTACTAAATTAAATGACAAAACTTGTTCAATAATCTAAATTTGCCTCATGAAAAACCTAGAGGACAGAATTGAATATACTGATTGTGTCTTGTATTTTTGAAGTTTATTCTTAAGATTATAAGGTGTTATTAATCTAAAGAAATGTTAAATATTTGACTTGCCGGATCTAAAAGCTTTTGGAATAAATTGGGAGAAATTATAGTTGTGGTGGTAACTAAATGTCTAAAGTATAGAAATTTAATTTTTAAGAAAATCTTGTGTTTTCTCTGAAAAATTAGAAATTCAAAATATGTTACTCATTAGTCTAATTAAAAAAGAGGATTCATTCTGTGATCCCAACCGAAATTTTTAATACTGAAACCAGTCTAAATTTAGTAATTGATATTTTAAGATAACTATAAAAAGTATATAATCTTTAAATCATATATATTTTACTTATATCTTAAATGTTATAAAAGGTTTGGCCTCTAAGAAGGGCTAAACAAGTTTTGTTTAATATCTGAAAATACAGCAGTGGAATTTTAAGATGTAATTTAAAAGACAAAAGCTCCTTGCCACCTGCATTTTAAATTAGGCTGGAGGTGGGCGGCATTTGCGCCTTGTGAATCAGACGTAAAAGTTTACTAAATTTACTAACTTTGCTTTTTCAATAAAAATACCTACTTAAATTACTTATTAAATTAACTTTTAAAAATATAATCAAAGCTTCCTATAATTTAAGTTATATGAGAAGCCAATATCTTTGTAAACAATTGAATCCTAGTAAAGTCTTCTAAAAAAGTTACTGAAGGCTTCCCATGATCCCTCTGTATATGCAAATAAGCTGAAAGGGAATGCTGTTTAAAAATATTATTCTAAATTTAATAAAAAGAGAAATTTAAAATTTTGAAATCTCTTCCCTAATGTTTATAGGATAATCTAAATATTATTATTAAAATACCAAATCTGAACATAAATAGAGTCACCATGAATGAATAAGGACTTGAAATACATGGCCTTGCTGCACTATCAGTTAACATCCAGGAAATAACCCTGTAGGTTGTTGGGTGTAAAGAAGAAGGCAAAAATACTTGTTAGTTGAAATTTGGTAAGCTGGACTGAAAGTTATGTTAGAAGTAGATAAACAGGTTTCCTTCAAACATCTTAAGAACTGCAATTAATTTTATTAGGTCTAATGTGAAAAGGTAAATAAGTTGTTTTTGCACCCCTTAATATAGCTAGTGTAAAATTACGCAAAGACTGATTACAGAAATTTAGTTAATATCATTTATTGCCTATAACCTAGGTCCTAGGACAAGTAAAGTTAAAAAAATAATAAAGATAAATGTTATTCAGATTACTTTAAATTGGCTAATTGAAATAGTCAAGAAATTTAATTGTACTAGATAGGAAACTGTTCCTGAAGTATTAACTATAGTTTTTTATTGATGGTTCATCTTATATAAAAATTGCTTAACATGCAATAAATCCAGAGCAGTCATATTTCTATACAAGAAATTGAAATTAAAAGTTATCGCCCTGACCAGTTTGGCTCAGCGGATAGAGCGTCGGCCTGAGGACTGAAGGGTCCCGGGTTCGATTCCGGTCAAGGGCATGTACCTTGGTTGCGGGCACATCCCCAGTAGGAGGTGTGCAGGAGGCAACTGATCGATGTTTCTCTCTCATCGATGTTTCTAACTCTCTATCCCTCTCCCTTCCTCTCTGTGAAAAATCAATAAAATATATATTTAAAAAAAAAAAAAGTTATCAATACTGCATTGTAAAATCTCTAAAAGCCTCCTAATATTTAAATCAAAAAAGGGGGGATAGTGGAATAATGCCTGTAAGTAAAAGCCTTAATTACATCAAAAAAATTTTTACTTGAAAATTAGTTTTAATTTGTAATGCTAATAGCAAGACACCCATAAAAACACACATGGTGTCAAAATAAGCCAAAGGAAAATCATTTGGGCAAAACAATGAAAAAGATCCCAAGTCTAATTTATAAAAATGATTCCTTTTGCCGAAACCGGTTTGGCTTAGTGGATAGAGCGTCGGCCTGCGGACTGAAGGGTCCCAGGTTCGATTCTGGTCAAGGGCATGTACCTGGGTTGCGGGCATATCCCCAGTGGGAGATGTGCAGAAGGCAGCTGATCAATGTTTCTCTCTCATCGATGTTTCTGACTCTCTATCTCTCTCCCTTCCTCTCTGTAAAAAATCAATAAAATATATTTAAAAAAAAATGATTCCTTTATTAACCTTTGGTCGAGAATATGTTTGTATATTTTCAGAAAACTCCTCCAAGCCCATGTGGATTCCTGCAACAAGGAATTCCAGAGAGGAAGTGACCAGACTTCTCCAGCCACAGACTAGCAGTGGCCCCATGAGAACAACAGAAGAGAAACAGTCCAGAAATGAAGATGGTGAAGACGCCTTGCCATGCTAGCAGTCAGCAGCTGTGCATCGCTGCAGGTTGCCCAGGACCAAACCAGAGAGGGTCGGACCTGCATTGCCACCATTTGTCCACCATCCAGAACTGAAGTATCATTGCTGACATGTATACATAAGAAACTGTTGGGAAAAAAAAAAAGAAAAGAAACTGTTGGACATTGAAATTGGGACTCTAAGAACTGTTGGCTCAAAAAGAAACTTACTGCAAACGATTCCTTTAATACCTGGCAGCAATTTGAAGGGACATGATAGAACTCTGCCCTTTCCATTGAATTTAAAAATCTTAAAACATACATTCTTTTTTTTTTGTTTAATATATTTTATTGATTTTTCACAGAGAGGAAAGGAGAGGGATAGAGAGTAAGAAACATCAATGAGAGAGAAACATCGATCAACTGCCTCCTGCACACCTCCTACGGGGGAT